GGCCAGCTTGTAACGCTATTATTGTAGCTTTATTTTGACCTACATACCTGACCTACACCCACTCTCATGTTGAGTTCTCATCTGTGGTATTCTGCCCACTCATCCAGACTTGTGAGGGCATCTTATTTTCTCTAACTTGGTTCGGCATTTCCTTACTTTGGCAGTAGATTCACCTCAAGGCATCTCTCTTAACAAGCCTTGGGTTAAAGTACTGTCAGGTCTTCTCAAAGTCTAAGGAAGTTACCTCTGTTGCCTCCTGTGGTCTGTTCCTTACTGGCCTCCTCAGAGTGGCGTGCAGAGCCAACCCCTCTGGATCCTTTTCATAAATGGGAGCAACCCCAGCCATCTCTTTCAGATTTTGAGCTTAGTGACCTTTTATAATGACAGGCTCTTCCCCCCCCTCACCCCAAAGAAACCAAATTACTTGTTAATTTGTTGTAAACTTCTGAAGAAAATTATTCAATGTTATTTTTTCATTTTTTCTTCATTATAGCGTTGAAGCTTTATTCTGCATTAGAACTTTGACCTCTCTGTGCCTCACTTTTGTAAGCCGTAGAATGGGGATAGTTAATGGGGCTGTGGTGGGCACATGACCAGGGGGACACAGTCCCGTCTGCAGGGGACGGAAGGTAAGTACACAGGGGCTCCAAGGTAAGACATGAGAAGGGCAGGCATCCCAGCCCAGGGTTCTTGGTGGGCTCCTGAGAGGTGTGAGAGGATAGACCTGATGTCCAGAGCAGCTTGACAAGCAGGAGGGGCAGGGGGGCTGCGTCTTAGAACGATGGGAGGGTTTTGTGGGGAGACGAGGCAGGTTGAGAAATGTTGCAGACAGTGGAGACCCTGGAAGCGGCCTGGCAGAGGTCCAGGCTGGGTGTCGGTATGTGGGAGGACCTCCCTTGCCAGGCTGCACATGTGCATGGAGTTTGTATCGGAGTTGGGGGCCAGTGGGGGTGCATGAGCGGGGGGACAGAAGTCAGAGGGTCTAGGGAAGTGCCTGCTGCCTGAGATCATACTTAACCCGTCAGGGCCAAGTTGCCCAACCTGTGAAGCAGGATGGCACACGATCTCCTGAAAGTGGACGCTTGGCAGCCGAGGCCGCGCCCTCCCCCGGCCTCTGCCTGGGACCCTGCCTGTGATTGGGGGTCGTCAGTGGGCCTCGGGCCTGGGGCCGAGTGTCCTCTCGGTGTGGGGGTTGGGCCTGTGTGTGCTGCGTGTTTCCTTAGAGAAATTTTACCAAGGAAAGCTCAATGTCACAATCCAGTATTTCCGTGATTTTTTTGCTAATGAAGTAATTTAATCAATTTGGTTTTCGTTTACACAGAGCTGTGGAGCATTTTCAAGGCTGCTTTGTGAGATTGAGCTTGACGTGCCTGGGCCTCCTGTCCCAGGTGGCACCGGCCTGGGTCCCCACCCAGCCATCCCTCTCTCTGCAGCCACGTGGCTGCGTCAGGGCCAGATAGCTGCATCGCCTGCTTTTTAAAAACCTTCCTACGTAGATTGAGACTCTTGGGGAAATTATAGTTAAGTAGCAGTTGTTTTGCTGATGTTAAGATGTTAGAATTAAAGAAGTTGTAGTAGGACTGTTGTATGTAGAAAACATCTTCTTCGTTTAGTTGACCTAGATTTTCTTCCGGTTTTATGTTACTTCTTTGTTCTTGGATTACCCAGATTCTATCCATTGAAATATTATACACTCTTCTCTTATTTTCTGAGCTCTAAGAGTATAAGTATTATTGTCCTTTTAGAAATAAGATTTGCATTAGTGGCAAAATTGTTCCTACTATTTAAAATTTTTTTTTCTGATTCTGCAGTTAACAGTATTCCTTACAGAAAATACAGAAAAGAGTAAAGAAGGAAATAAATATTGCCTGTAACCTGATTAATTTTTATATCTTTCTTGATAGGCAGTCCAGGTTTTGAGTTTTGTTTACAATTCTGTGACCAACTGTATAAGTTTCCTATTGCTGTTGTAACAAATGCCACAACCTTAGTGGCTTAGAACAGTGCAAATTTATTGTTTTATAGTTGTTCAGAAGTCTCACTGGGCTAAAATCAAATAAGAGGACTTGTCAGCACCATTTGTCACACTTAGTTCATGCTAACTACCTGGTAACTGGAGTGATGGACTGTGTTAGTTGATTGGCTTTATCCTCCCACCTTTATGACAGGAGGTGGTTTTGCAACTTGGAGTCTGAAGCCCATGGAAGTTAGGCTCCTGTCCTCCCCAGAGATGGGGAGATGGGCGTTGTCTCCCTCGATGTGTACATTCCAAAGAGATGGCTCCCCAGGTTCTCGAGAAAGACATTCCTAAGTCATAAAGCTCGCAAAGTGCCAATCTAGTCTTCAAAAGAATTTATGCACCGTTCCAAGAAATGAGGAAATCCTTCCTTTGGCAAGTTTTCTAGTGTGAGTTCTCAAAGAAAGAGAAGGAGAGGGACAACTCTTCCCTTACTTTCAACCGGGAGAATTAACGCCTCTTACATGACCTCATCTCTGGTCCTCACCCGGGTTGTCTTTCCCCCTCTGGAACGAGGGCAGGGCCTGGTCCGAGGTTCACGGGCGGCACCTCCCGCAAGTAGTGCCCAGTGAACAGTGAGTGAATGAGTTATAAGCGTCCTACTTCCATCGACCCTCATAGGAGCCATTTGAAGGCCGTTACTGTTGCACAGTGGTGTGAACTATGCCCACCACTTGCCGTGGAGCGAGTCCTGAGCCCAGGTGAGGGCTCTGCCTCCGTACCTGGCCCCACGGAGACGCTGTATAGACGGGAAGCTGAGGCTCGATGTGCCGCCTGGTGACTCTGGGTCTAACTCCAAAGTCCAAATGTATTTCACTTCCACAGAAAAATACAGCATGATCCTTACCCTGCCTCCCCAAAAGCCTCCAGGGACAGAGGACAGGACTGAGAGCACGAGCATATAAAATCTTAGACTTGTCTGTGTTGCCATGTGGGACTGTTGAAGGGTCATCTTTTCTGTACAGTTACAGCTTTTCCATATTTAGTAATGAGGTTGGGCCAGTCCTGTCACGTTTCTGAGTCTCACTTTGTCCTCCAGCCTTGGGGTCCCCTCCCCAGGTCTGTGTTGCCCGGGGTGGGGCCTGTGGGAGTGCTTCCACAGGCCTCGGGTCAGTGGTGGCTCAAGGGTCAGCTGTGGATCTCAATGGCTCCTTCTCATATAATCCACCTTGTGGTGGATTTCTTATTTGCAGGCGTGTTTCTTTAGAGACTTGACTGTCTTGTTATGTGAGTGTGAGTCTCTGCAACGATCGCTTTACCGTGCTTGGTCTGCAGCTCCTTCGTGTTTTATTTCCCCTGATCATGAAGCATGTTCTCCCAGTGACGAGGGGGAAGTTCGACTTCCATTCCTCGCTTGCCCGTTGCTGTGTGCTCTTTTGCCTAAGCATTTAATCACACAAGCATGGATTCCCCCTCATGTGTATATATTTTTATTTTAACCTACTGGATGTTTTTTCTGATTACACAAGAAATATTTTCCTTTAGAACATATTTTGGCAAATATAAAAAAGCATGAAGAAGAAATGTCTCACCTCTGGTCATCCTATCTGTCAAAACTGTTAACACTTTGAATATATATATGTAGATATACACACACACATAGATATATACACACACATATATATACACACACACACATATATACACATATACAAATATGTATATCTTGGGCCACGCTTCATGGCTTGCAGGATCTTAGTTCCCCGACCAGGGATTGAACCCGGGCCACGACAGTGAAAGTGCTGAGTCCTAACCACTGGACCGCCAGGGAACTCCCTGATGTATTTTCTTCCAGCATTTTTTCTGTATGTAATTCAGACCATTCCTTTCGTGACCTTATAGAACATTTAGAACATTGTTCTGTGTCACTGCTTAGTCATAGAAAAATGCCATTTTTAACGTCTAACATTAGGTTAAACTTTACAAAAGCATTGTTTTTGTAGGTCAAAAATGGTTGAATATCAGCAGTTAGGGTTTAACCTAATATTTGATCAAGTGGTTCATCATGATTATTTTCCTAATGTTAAATATTTAGATTGTTTCAGAGTTTCAATTAGTATACACAACACTGGGGTGAAAGTATTTTACATAATATTTGGCAGTTTCAGTTTCTCCTCTTGTATTTGCCCTTTTAAAATCTGAAGGGAACAACAGCAAATTACTTTCTATAAAAAATTACAGTGGTAATTGCCTGATGCATTTTCAGGGCAAATGGCAATCACTGGCTTCCATTTCCTTTGCTATTAGAACATCCCACCAGACCACGTAAATGTCAGTGAGAGACTTCTCATTGGGTCCGTGGGACAGCAAGGTTAGGGCCTCCTGGTGGATCTTAAAGCTCTGTTCAGAGCTTGCTCTGGCAGAGATTTTCAAGATTGGCATCACCTGATTTCCTTTTCATAATAAATCCTGATTTTTAGTTCTTTTATGACAGACACTTACTGTTGGTTTGTTCTGATGATAATCCTAGTGTTTCTATTTATTCAGGAAATTGCTGACTGCCTGCCTGCTGCCCTCTGCCTGCCACCATGCCATGTCCAGTAACAATATATATATTGTTTATTGAGCACGTACTGTGTGCCCCGCACAGTTCTGAGTGCTTTACACACATTTAATGTTTAAAGAGCCCTAAAGGGAGGCCTTGTGACTATAGGTAGCTTACCTGTAGGTTTTCATAACCTGCTCACGGGCACCACTGGGAGGTGGGGACCCTGGACTGCCCTGACACTGAAGGGCAGACGTTAGCCATGGTGCTTTACCACCTCCGTGGACACAGCCTTTCAGCTCTTGATCCGGGTTCCTTGGAGGGGTGTGTATACCATCATTTCAAAGGCTGGAGGTGTCCTTTTTAATGACCTTTTGATTGGAAAAAAATGACTTATTTGTTGTATATATTCACTGGGCTTTTTGGTACTGGTTTATCTGAGTGTGGGTTTATATATTTTTAAGCTATGGGCTTTTTTTGTTTGGTCTCATTTTCTAGGTCCAGAAGCTGCTATGTATGTGCCCAGTCGATTTCCATGGCATCTTCCAGTTGGATGAAAGGCGGAGAGACGCGGTGATTGCATTGGGCATTTTTCTCATTGAATCTGATCTACAGGTAGGACTTGGCTAAATTAAAAGTGTTTCTGCATGCAAAAGAGGGTGCAATTAGGGTTTAAGTTTGTGCCTACTTTATACTCCTAAATCAGGCCTAGAGGAGCGCTCGCAAACCTACCTTGTGTAAGTGGTCAGCTGAGGGCGAGTGATGGGGAGGGGGCAGAACTGGTGGGAATGAGACCTCTATGGACACGTCCTCAGGAAGGTGCGGTTTTTGTTTTCGACAGAATGTTAGAGTGCTTTGTGAAGTAATCATGTACCCTCCAGAGTAGACTTGATTTTAAACCTCAGGCAAAACGCTCGGGAGCCAGACTCAGAGTAACCACTTCTTTTCCTTCCAAAAAGACAGTGTTCTTTGAGATAATTGTGACATAACAGTCTTTTTCAAAACTATGATAGATATAAATTGTTTTAGAGTACATGTTAATGTGCCTTTTAAAGGTGATTTACAAACCATTGTTGTCACTACAACAGAAAATGGCCATTTTTTAGTATTTACCAAGGCTAATTGAAGCAAATGCTCAGTCACTGGATACAGAATCTTTTATCTGTTTATTTTTATCATTGCCAAAAATCATTTTTTAAAATTCCAAGTTTAATCATCCTATGTTAAAAAAATAAAGATGTCAGCTATTTGAATTTTTATTCATCTAAAAAAGTTAGCTTGCATGTCCTGGGAATTTTACTTCAATAAGAATTAATATTTTTGACAGAGTATTTATACATTTGAAAAAAAATAAGCATTTTAATTTTAGAGAAGTATTTCAAAAATTAAATAGGTTACCTGATCAAGGCCACACGAAAAACCAAGATTAGATGCATAAGCTGCATTTTAATTCTTCTTCCTATTTATTTACAAATGTGAAAATAAAGACAATCATTTTCTATTTACCAGGTCCTATTTAAATTTAAATATAAAAATAAAGGGAGGAAAATAAATTTTCAAAAAAAGAAACCTGTATAAGAAACTACTGCTATTCGAATGAGTATTACTTGAAACTATCTTTGGCAAACACATCACTTGCTGGATTTACCTGTGAGCCCCTAATACCTGTATTGGGTTTTTTCAGATGGCAGGGAAGAGACGAGTACAAGTTACTTTTGGTGTGGTTTGGGTTCCGGGTCAGTGGTTGGCAGGGGTGGCAGCAGCTGTCCCATGGGGCTCACAGTTGGCCTGAGCTTCCCAGGAAGCTGGAGGCCTCATGGACACCAAGGGAGGAGCCCGGTGTCTGCTGGCCCCTGCGCCTAGGGACCAGCTTTCTCGTGATCCACCTGGAGTTTGTGTTCCTTTCCTCCATCCCTGGTGGGCGCTGGCACTGGCCTCCTTTGTGCCCAGTTAGTGGGCTGCCCTGGCGGCAACCGTGGCCAGAGTAGTGGTGGTGGTGACACCATTGCAGGGTGTGTGGGGAAGAGCCTGGGCCGCTTCCTCTCTGCAGGGCCTTGGTGTGCGGCCCCTTTGGGGTCTTGTGTGTGTTAGTACACCAGTTCCCTGGGCAATTGTTGTACAGGAAAAATGGTTTTGTTTTCACTAAAGAAAGTTCTCTATTTATTTTGGTTACCTATTGTGGCATAAAAGTTACCCTAAAGTTGGTGGCTTAATTACCCCAAAGTTAGTTGGTTTTGTTTGGCAGAGGTTTTTGCTCATGAATCTGCAATTTAGCCAGAGCTCAGAAGAGCCCAGTCTCTGCTCCATTTGGTGTCATCTGGGGTGGCTCAAAGGCTGGCCCTGGAGTCACCTGAAGGCCCCTCCCCCACATGTGTGGGGTTGATCCTGGCCGCTGGCTGGACCTTCTCTGGGGCTCTTGGCCAGGGTCCCTCCATGTGCATGGCCTCCCTGTGTGGCCTGGGCTGTCATTTGTCACAGCATAGTGTCTGGGTTGCAAGAGTGCGTGTCCTGAGAAAGAGCTGGGGGAAGTGGCTCTGCCATCTCTGAGCTAGCCTGGGAAGTCAGGCTCGTTCATTCTATTTTCTACATGCAGCTATCCCTCGGCGTCTTCGGGGGATTGGCTCCGGGACCCCTTGCAGGTACCACAGTCCAAGGATGCTCCAGTCTTCCATATAAAATGGTGTAGTACTGTTGGCTCTTTGTATCCACAGACGTGGAACCCTTGGATACGGAGGTCTGACTGTACACTAGAAGCAAGTCACCAAGGCAGCTCTGTTTTCAGGGGACGCAAATTTGACTCTGCCTTTTGGTGAAAGGAGTGTGGCAGAATTTGCAACCATGTATTCAAAGCCACATGTTTTTTCAGCGTTTCAGAACATCAGATAGTGTCCCCTTCTCTGGAGCACACTTGTCCTTCACGGGGGCAGCCGCATGTAGGGAGACAGCCAGGAGAGCTAGTGGTGGAAGGTTATGAACTCTATGCTGATTGGCTAGTTTGGAAACTAGATGAAAGTAATTTTTCCATTGGCTAACGTTGGCTATAAAGTCTAATGCTCAAAAAAAAAAAAAAAAAGTCTAATGCTCAATTTGAGAGGAGCAAAAGGAAACATGAAACCGAAAATTTATGAAAGGAAGGGAAGAGCACAAGGACCGTGAACAACAGAAAGAAGCATCACCAAGTTTGTAAGCTGCTCTCCAGTCTGGAGGATGTGGTCCTGAGGTTTGGGTTTGGGGACTTTAAACACCTGGAAGGAGGCAGTTCTGAGTGTGTGCACACGTGTCTTCTTCTGGAGGGCAGAGCCAGGCTGGACCCTGAGCAGCAGAGGGCAGGTGTCGGCCTTCCTGTTGGCCGTAGGGACGCTGCCCGCCATGTGCAGCAGGAAGGGTGCGACGCTGTGCAAACGCCCTTCTCTGAGATGATCAGGATGTGGATGTGCTTTGTTTTGGGCTCAGTCTGTGCTAAAAAGCTACCAATCGTGTACTTAATTAAATGTATTTTTTTTTTTTTTTTTTTTTTAGCACAAAGATTCTGTGGTTCCTTACCTTCTTCGACTTCTTAAAGGTCTTCCGAAAGTGTATTGGGTAGAAGAAAGCACAGCTCGGAAAGGCAGAGGTAGTTTTGCTTAAAGTTTTCCTGAATGCGAGGAAGCATCTGTGTGTTTCCCGTCTGCGAGGATTGAATGTTTAATCACACTAACGCGGCAGTTAGGATGCTTCTAGCTGGTTCCACTCCTGTGCCTGCAGCACTAGCGCTTTCTCACGTTGCCCAGAGCCCTGGGCGGGATGAGCGGAGCTGAGCAGGACCACGGGGACCCTCAGGAACCTTTGCTCATGTCCCATTGGCTGCCCTGGGTCCCCTGCTGTCCCTGAGCTGGTCTGTTGCCTCAGATGGAGAGGCTCACCCTGCAGTGAGGTCAGTTCTCCAGATGGCCTGGTGGCTGCACAGAAAGGAGGGCTGAGATGGGAGTTTGAGACTCAACCACTATGTCCACTGTCAGTAGTTTTATCGCTTTGTCGATGTTGCTAAGTTTCCACTGAACTTTGCATCTTTGCAAATGGAATAAATTCATGTGTATTTCTTTTTAACTTGTATTTGATACTGATCTCTCTTTAAGGTCAAAGAGAAAGTTAGATAATCTTTTCTCTCTTCCCCTCCACTGCCCTCCCCTCCCTTCCTCCCTCCTTGCCTTCTTCCTCCTGTCCCTCCCGAAGTATTTACATAGGTCCCCTACATGCCAGGCATTGTGCTAAACGCTTATAACACTCATGATCTTGTAAACAGATTTCCCAAGACTCCAAAATCAGCTTGGAAGATCTCCAACATTTCAGAGTTCATGACCCATGAGACTGAAGTTTCCTTGTAATCTCTCTCTCTGAGTCCAAGGCCCCCACCTTCAGATCTAGCAGGGGGTTGGTGCCTGCAAAGAAGGCCCTTGTCCTTTCTGTTGGTGGCATGGCCTGAATTTGTCAGGTGGGCTCAGTCTGCTGGAGACTGTGCTGTCCTCATGAACATCCGCTTGTGCCTGCCCGTGTTCCTCTTGCCCTTTGGGTTTTCAGCATTTCTGGTGACTTACTGTACCTAAAGCTGACAGACCCCAAATTATTCAGGTGTCCTGGAATTTGAAAGACTGCAGATTAGATAGAGCATTGCTGAAAAGTGAAACATCTGTGTCTACCATTGTTATCTAATTTGGGGAGAAGTAGAATACTAGAAAGTGTTGATCCTATTTTATTTCAAAACAAATATCACTTCTGTATACTTGGACTCATTCGAATGAGTTTTTTAGCATTATTTAAACATTGTTAGGGACTTTCCTGGTGGCGCAGTGGTTAAATATCTACCTGCTAATGCAGGGGACACAGGTTCAAGCCCTGGTCCGGGAAGGTCCCACATGTTGCGGAGCAGCTGGGCCCGTGCACCACAACTACTGAGCCTGTGCTCTAGAGCCCGCGAGCCAGAACTACTGAAGCCTGCATGCCTAGAGCCCGTGCTCCGCAACAAGAGAAGCCACCACAGTGAGAAGCCCACACACCACAACAAAGAGTAGCCCCCGCTCACCGCAAGTAGAGAAAGCCCACACGCAGCAATGAAGACCCAACGCAGCCAAAAATAAATAAATAAAAAATAGATAAATTTATTAAAAAAAAAACATTGTTAGAGATATATAAATTTCCAATTATCGGGTAATATTTCAGTCTCCTAGTTTCTATTAAGGCAATATCATTTATGCTTTGATAAACCCCATAGCAGTAGTTCTTAAAGGGCCATCCCTGGGCCAGCAGCATCAGCACCCTGGGAACTTGTCAGAAAGGAGATTCTCAGACCCCACATTGGAGCTACTGAGTTAGGAACTCTGGGCCCGGGAGTCAGGCAGACTGCGTTTCAACAAGCCCTCCTGGTGGTCCCGGCCACGCTCAAGCTTGAGAAGGACCTAGAGCTGCATTTAAGAATCACGTGTGCGGAAGTAGACACGCAGTGGTCGTCTGCTCTGTGTGTGTGTGTCTTTGAGTCAGTGCTCAACGTTCAAAATTGGTTAAATGTTTAATAGTGATTGGACCTCCTCGGCAGCAGGTCTAAACTTCCCAAAGTGCAGAAGTGGTGCTTCACTTGTGGTCTTTTGGGTGTAGTGCTCCCTTCTTGACCTTGAGGCTCTGCTTCTGAGAATCTCTGTACTGGCAGGCTCAGTCAGGGAAGGGCTTAAAAACCTACGAGGAATAGAGCACATCTCTGGGTGCTCTTCTGAGGATTTTCTCCACCTGTCAAGAAAAAAGGAAAAAAAACATCAATTCAGTTTAAAGTGATAGTAATTGGTGTTTGACAGTTAGCCTCCATGGAACATCTCCCATAGTCTTACCAAGATTGATTTCCCAATTTTATTTAGGTCGGGAATAAAACATGGAATCTGTCATGTTGAGACGCTCTGTAATCTCAGACTATAAATTGGCTCAGCAAACATTTCAATTTCTTGAACCAAAACATTTTATTACAAGGAAGGCAGGGGTGTTTCTCAGCGAACACCTTGGGCCCATATCTGTTCTCTGGAGGCTCATCCTGACGAGGGCGGCCTCTACTGTAAGCAGGTCCTTGGCAGCCATGTGAGAGGGAACAGCCAGATGGGGTGGCTGGTCAGTGTGATGATCCGATTCCTGTCTTTCTGCCTCCAGGCACCCTCCCAGTGGCTGAGAGCTTCAGCTTCTGCTTGGTCACTTTGCTGTCTGACGTGGCTTATAGGGACCCTTCCCTCAGGGATGAGGTAAGTGTGTGGTGACTTGGTGTGTGTTTCTTTAAGATCTGAGAGTCCCAAAGTGATGACAGGGCAAAAAAAAAAAAGTGATTGGATTGTTTATGTTGATTTATTTCATACTGTTAGTCACACACATGAGAAATGTTAAATCCTGCTTGCAGTGCTTAGTCCCCTGCGACCTCCCGAGTCTTATCTCGTTCAGCTTTTCCAATTGCCCTGTGAGGTGGCCAGCAAAAGGTCACACGTCCTCCTGCCTCCATGCTGGGGACTGACGTTCATAGGAGAAGATTTTCTGGAAAGCTGGAGCCGTTCCTTCAAAGGCTCCAGTTTTTTTAGTTTTAGTTTATTTTGTTGGAAATGTTACTTAAATGTATTTCATATTTCTCTCCTTTTATTTATTTATTTATTTTTGGCTGCATTGGGTCTTCGTTGCTGCGAGAGGGCTTTCTCTAGTTGCAGCGAGTGGGGGCTACTCTTCATTGTGGTGCATGGGCTTTTCATTATGGTGGCTTCTCTTGTTTCGGAGCATGGGCTCTAGGCGCATGGACTTCAGTAGTTGCAGCACACGGGCTCAGTAGTTGTGGCTTGTGGACTCTAGAGCGTGGGCTTAGTAGTTGTGGCACACAGGCCTAGTAGCTCCACAGCATGTGAGATCTTCCCGGACCAAGGCTCAAACCTGTGTCTCCTGCTTTGGCAGGAGGATTCTTTTTTTTTTTTTTTTTTTTAGAAGGAAGGTTTTTTTTTTTTTTTTTTTTTTTTAGAAGGAAGGTTTTCTTTATTTTTTTTTTTTTGCGGTACGCGGGCCTCTCACTCTGGTGGCCTCTCCCGTTGCGGAGCACAGGCTCCGGACGCGCAGGCTTAGCGGCCACGGCTCACGGGCCCAGCTGCTCCGCGGCATGTGGGATCTTCCTGGACTGGGCACGAACCCGTGTCCCCTGCATCGGCAGGCGGACTCTCAACCACTGCACCACCAGGGAAGCCCTGGCACACGGATTCTTAACCACTGCGCCACCAGAAAAGCCCCCCTGTATCTTTTTTAATTTTTAAAATCTCTTTCCTTACTATCACATTGTAAATTCTGTGTCCCTATTTCTGCCATTATGTTGGTCTCCACCCTTCTTTCTTAGTTTAGGTTCTTTATTTACTTGTGGGTTGGCTAAAGAGATAACTAGATACGTTAGAATCACATATTATTTAAAAAGCTAACAGGGCTTTTCTATCAGTAACACCTATTGAAATAGGTCACTACAGAAGATGGTGGCATAACTTTAATACGTGAAATGGACGAAACATTGCTTTCCAGGTCCTCACTGTTCCACATCATTTGACAGTAGCAAAACGTGAGCAGTTTGGTGATGAACAAGTCACCTCAGACCAACTTCATTTTTCTGCCTGGATTCCCCAAGACTGGAAGTGGGGGAGGTGAGAGGGACTCGGTCTGGGTGCTCTTCATCAGGGCCTGGACCACGCCTCTCCTGACATCCTGGGTCAGCAGTGTAGCGGAGGGCAGGGTTTGCAGAGCCACCTGAAGGACCACCCCAGGGGCACCAGGAGTCTCTGGTCGCCTGCCCCCTGCAGTGGAAGCTGAACAGCTAGGACCAGCCAGGACCGGGGATGAAAATCCTGAAAGCAAGTCAGTCTTGTCTGTAGATGATTCAGATGCCAAGCTGGGAATCGAGGACCTTCGCAGTGAACTGAAGCTTATGCCCTGAGCTTTTGTGGGGCTCAGTGACAGGCAAAAAAATACCAGCCCTGCGGGTGGAGGGGCACAGCTTGAGGCAGCATGTGTGAGAGACACTTAAGGATTTCATTTCTCTGTGAGTTCATGGAGCCAGCAGTGTGAAGGGCTGCTGGAAAGCCAGTGTCATGTCCACAGACGTCTGGGGTCCGTGCTGAGTCTGGTGATTACTCGGGGAGATCCCCAGCATCGCTGGAATAGTAGTGTGTTTTGTCTGAACACTGCAGTTGGAGATGGTTTCTTACACACTGAGCTATAGTGGAATCAGGCAGGCCATCAGCAAGGACTTGAATCATAAGGAACGGATGGAAAGAACCAGGGGTGTTGAGCTGTGAAGAGAGATTGGGGGCCTGTCACCTGTTTCTAGAGTTAGGAGGCCTGTGGACCAGCCAGAGAGGGAGGGTTCTGTCCACAGAAGGTCTGTTGCCTGACCCCTCTGCAGAGCTTCCGTGCAGGGGGTTATGGATCAGGAATGAGGTTGGACAAGAGAATGTCTAAAGCTCCCTCTAGTTCTGAATTAATTTTGTGATATTTATCTGATTTTGTTTATAAGTTTGTGTGTTATGTTTCCTTGGCTATTCCAGATTTTAGAGGCGCTTTTGCAGGTTTTGCATGTCCTTTTGGGAATGTGCCAGGCCTTGGAGATTCAAGAGAAAGGTATGTTTTCTTTTTATTGTTTGTGATTATCCTTCCCCTTGCTTTTCCCAGTCTTCAGATTTTCTGTTCTTTGCAACCAGTGTATCTGGTGGACGTGACCTTTGCTGCATGTTAGTTGAGAGCCCACGTGGGGTCATGAGCACAGGTCTGCTGCCTGAATGCTGGGCCACTTCCCCCTCTGGGGCTCGGTTTCTTCACCTGTAACATGTCTGAAAGTCATTTTTCTTCTGGTGTGAGGCTACCAATCTGCTCCCAGAAGGACTAAATGCACTGATTAAGTCCCGTAAGGGAGCCTGCTCAGGTGACGTGGCTGAGGGACTGATTTGGAGGTGCTGTGCGTGGTTAAGACCTCCCACCCACAGGCCGTGTCTGCAGCCGTGGTTGAGGATGGATGGAAAATACTGCCGGTCAGTGCCTGGGCTTGGCCCTGTTGCCATGGCTAGTTCTGGCCCTTGGACTTGCTGGTGGGGGGCTCTGAGATGGGTGGTCCCAGGTCCCCAGGTGGTGCTGCCACGGCTTCCCTCTGCCTTCCAGAATACCTCTGCAAGTATGCGGTCCCGTGCCTCATAGGAATCTCCCGCGCATTTGGGCGTTACAGCAACACGGAAGAGTCCCTCCTGTCCAGGCTCTTCCCCAGAGTCCCTCCTCATTCCCTCCACGTCCCCGAGGAGCTGGAAGGTGTACGGAGGCGGTCCTTCAACGACTTTCGCTCCATCCTCCCCAGCAACCTGCTGGCGGTGTGTCAGGAGGGCACCCTGAAGAGAAAGGCCAGCAGCGTGTCCAGCATCTCGCAGGTGGGGCCATGCGCCCAGACGGACAGGGGACGGGGTCTTGTTAGGTGCCCACTTGCATGTAGTTTGAGGGAACTTGGGGAGCGTGAAGGATTCTCATTAGAGTTCTCTTTAATTCAAAGGTTGCCTTGTCCTTTTTAAGATTTATAAGTGAGTCATCTCCTGGGAGGTGAAGTGTTTGGGCACCAGCTCTTTTCTGAGTGCAAGACAGTTGGTGCCTGTAGAGAATATGTAATTGATTCATGGAGAAAGACAGGGACACGAAACACTGAGAATAGTCTGGCTCAGTCATCAGGTGTAGAATATATGGCTAGACACAAGAATTTAGAATTACAGTAGAGAACCTGTAGCCAGGGTGGGCTTCAGCGAGGAGGTGGGGCTGAACCAGGGCTCTGGCCAGCAGAGGGAGCCTTGTCTGAGACAGATCTGACTGAGGTCTGACTGGCCTTTCTTATCTGTGCGTGTGGTTGTGTGTTTCAGGTCAGCCCTGAACGAGGGGTGCCCCCTCCCAGCTCCCCTGGAGGATCCACCTTTCACTACTTCGAAGGTGGGCTTTGCCTTTCTGCTGACCGAGCCCCCAGGCACTGCTGTTGTGCCTCTTGAGTGTCAAGCTTTTAGAAAGCATTTATTTTCTATTTTTGATTAAACTTCTTAAACTTGAATCTAAAAATATTTCAAACATAGAGAAAAGTGCAGACAATAATATACAGGACCCCAAATGCCTGCCATCTGAATCTTAGTACATTAACCTGTGAAAGCACTGCTTTTCAGGTGGAAATACTAGCGGTGGGTCCTTCTTTTGTTTCTTGTTGTTTAAGGTCATTAAGTGTGTGGATAACATTAAAGAACATAGTAATGAGACTGCATGTAATCCCTTATGTTTAATGAGTAGTACTTTCTGTAGAGCTTTGCTGTTCACAAAGGACTTTCAGGTAATTTACTGAATTTGATTCATGTGGCAGCTCTGTGCAGTGTCAGACACTTGTTACAATAGCCTTCACCTTCTCCTCGAAGGAAGTAAGATGCAGATTGTGGGGAGGAAGTGGGGAAACAAGACCTCCACGCCTCATGGCACCATCCGTTCCATTATCAGTGACACCCCTGCATAAATCCCAAATCTTACACCTGTGGTTCCTGCAGCTCTGCCTTTTGCCTCCTTTTGTGTCCACCACGCACTGGGTCAGCCACGCAGGATGTCATCCTCATGTCGTGGTGTGTGTCCGGGTCACAGACTTCTTGCCTTGTCTTATGACTATCATTATTTTTTACAATAAACTGTTAATGTCCTTAAGGTGAACGACATGATGGTTTGATATACATAAATGTGGTGAGGTGGTTACTGCAGTCAAGCCATTAACTATACATCTCCTCACATAGTCACCATTGTGTGTGTGCGTGTGTGGTTAGAGCACCTCTTCTCTCAGCGCATTTCTAGCATCCAGCATGGTGTAATTAGCTCTCTGGACTCAGCCCGCATAACCGTCATCTCCCCATTTCCCCACCTCCCGCCCCGGTCACCACACTCTCTGCTCCCATGTCTTTGAGTTTTTTAGATTCCACATATAAGTGAGATTGTGCAGTTTTTTTCTTTCTGTAACTGGCTTACTTCACTCAGCATAATGCCCTCCAGGAATATTATTCAGCCTTAGGAAAGGAGATATTGCCATTTGTGACAACGTGGATGAACCTGTATGTGATGCTGAGTGAGATAAGCCGGTCACACGGGTGCATATATAATGGAAAACACATGGAGCATGTGTGTTCATGCACACTGTACATATACATGTTTTATGTAGTTTTCACACACATTTCATGTGCGCACACACACACCCTTCCCACCTTCTCCCCACCTGTTCCCTTTAATTTGGCCTCACCCCACCCCCCGTCCAGCCCCCTCTGTAGCTTCACCGTGTTGGCCTCCAGCGTCTCAGCTCCTCTCAGTATTGTTGCCCCCGCTCTGTTGTAAGCTGCCTCCAGCTGTCATGGCTCTTAACCTGTAAAAAGGTGTAATTCTTTTTTTGTTGTTGTTCTCACATGTCTGGGTGGAAAATATTAGGACATGATTCTACCTAAGCTTTGACCTGAAACACCCCAGTGAGAGGCAACCCTCCCCAAGGATTTGCAATCCAGCTTTTACTTCTTTTTTTAATTGAAATATAGTTGATTTATAACGTTGTATTAGTTTCTGATATATAGCACAGTGATTCAGTTATACATATATATTATATTCTTTTTCAGATTCTTTTCCATTATGGTTTATTACAGGATATTGACTGTAGTTCCCTGTGTTATTCAGTAGGACCTTGTTGTTTACCTATCTTACATAGAGTAATTTGTATCTGCTGCTCCCAAATTCCTAATTTATCCCTCCCCCACCCCCTTTCCCCTTTAGCAACTGTAAGCTTGTTTTCTATGTCTGTGAGTCTGTTTCTGTTTTGTGAATAAGTTCATTTGTGTCATGTTTTTTAGACTCCACATATAAGTGGTATCATAACGATATTTGTCTTTCTCTGTCTGACTTACTTCACTTAGTAACTTAGTATGATGATCTGTAGGTCCATCCATGTTGCTGCAAATGGCATTATTTCATTCTTTTTTATGGCTAAGTAGTATTCCGTTGTATATATACGTACCACATCTTTTTTTTTTTTTTTTTTTTGCGGTACGCGGGCCTCTCACTGTTGTGGCCTCTACTGTTGCGGAGCACAGGCTCCAGACGTGCAGGCTCAGCGGCCATGGCTCACGGGCCCAGCCACTCCATGGCATGTGGGATCTTCCTGGACCGGGGCACGAACCCGTGTCCCCTGCATCGGCAGGCGGACTCTCAACCACTGCGCCACCAGGGAAGCCCCCACGTCTTCTTTATCCATTCATGTGTCAATGGACATTTAGGTTGTTTCCATGTCTTAGCTATTGTGTATAGTGCTGCTATGAACGTTGGGGTTCATGTATCTTTTGTATTAGAATTTTCTCTGGATATATGCCCAGGAGTGGGATTGCTGAATCATATCAGCCTTTACTTCACATGGAATTTGAGTGTAAACAAAAGCAAAATTGATACCGTTGTTGGTTCTTGAGGGAGTATCTGGGTCTCATACTCCCACGACTGACTTTCTGGTTTTGCCCCATCAGCCTCTTACTTGCCTGATGGGAGTGCCCTGGAGCCCGACTACTACTTCTCCACCATCAGCTCCAGCTTCTCCGTTTCTCCTCTTTTCAATGGCATCACTTACAAGGAGTTCAGTATTCCCCTGGAGATGCTCCGGGAACTCGTAAACCTGGTAAGCATAGCCTTGATGGATAGATGGACCACGGGTATATCAACCAGTGGAATTGCTAGTTGTGTCAGCCTATATTTCACAGCACAGCTTGGTAGTCACAGTTTTCAGATTAAAGAGGGAAGGAGGGTCACATCCTCGGAGTTGCTGTGTGGCATGTTCTCATTTGTCCCTGCAGCCGCCACGTGGGGCGTGGCCATGCGTCCCCTTGTTGGAGGTGAGGAAGTTGGTGTCAAGTACTTTAAGGGCTAAGGGCAGGGCCCAGGCTCAGGCTGTGGTCCGACCCCAAGCCCACCTGCTCTTGCACTTGACCCAGCTCAGGGGCTCCTCTTTTTGGAGTAATACAGAGCTAATGTTTCCTGTCTGGGGACCTCTGTGTGATCTTTGCAGTCACATCAGAGATGCCATTGTCTGAGTCCTGGAGTGGCTGGGCCTGTGACCCACCCCTGAAGTTGCCATGCTTGTACCAGGGTGCTGCATGGTGGATTTGGGTGGGCCAGGACAGACTCCAAAGACAGGGCTTTCTGCTTTGGAACGAATGAGAGAGAAGAAGGTCGGGGTGAGGCGGGGGCCGGGGACGTGGCGCTTGCCTGTGAGGAGTGTGAACAGAAATGGCCCAGAGGTGGTGGCTACGGGTGGAGAAGCAAGAAGATGACCCAGTGTCGGCGGGCAGGGTGGAGCCAGGGTGAGCTGCTCAGTAGCCGGCTGTCCTGAGACCCCCCAGCCGGCCACGCTGTCAGTGTCCCGACGGGACAGCAGCTCTTTAGGGTCGTGTCAAGAGATTCCAGTTGAAGGCTGGATGTCTTGGGTCGTTCAGGGGAATTTGTTTTTCAGTTTTTTTTAACTTTCAAGGTTAGGTTTTCTTCTAAACCATTTTTAAATTTCTTCTCCTGGCCTGTCGTTTATCATTATCCATATGTTTTAAAAATAACCTTAAAGCACTGTAGTGTGGTGGCAGTTTTCTCAGGCGGTTCTTAGTCGGCAGAACAGTTCTTCCTGTCCTGAGCACTGGTACAGAGTGGGGCCAGGGTGGGGGTGGCCAGTGCTCCTGTGAGGAATTCGCAGTGTGTGCTGCAGCGCCCGGAAGAGCCAGCGCCCTGGCCCGGGGAGGGGGCATCGTTGGCGCCTGGGGACCGGCTGTGATGGGGGTCTACCACGTCTGGGAGGGGCCTCGGGGGGGAAAAGTCAGTCTTGCCTGGAGTCTCAGCGCTTTCGCTTCCTGGAAATGGAAACCTCATGTACCCAGATTTGAGGGAGTTGGTTCCTTTTCTGTTTTTATTTCATTCCCATCTATGGTAAGAAAGAAGTTCTAAGTGATGGCAGGATTAGGGACATTTGTGTGTGTATTGGAGCCTTGGGGCTCCAGTGATGTGCTCATTGTTGGCCTCTTATTTCCATCCATTTTTCACTGTGAGCTTGTGATATGGTTTCATACGTCAGCACGATTTGTTCTTCAGTGGAATGAGCTGGCACTCCTGTCTCCCCCTATGTGTGCCAGGTGCTCACGAGGTCTCGTTTCCCTTGCAGGTGAAGAAGATTGTTGAGGAGCCTGTTCTCAAGTCCCTGGATGCAGTCGTAGCCAGCGTGATGGAGGTACGTACTCCCTCTGAGGGCATCACGCCGAGATCACCTGCCGGGCACACCTGTGTCGGGGGAGTGGGGAGGGTTTGCAGTCGGTGGGGTGGGGCCACTGGAGTGAGGGAGAGGCTCGCCCTGAGACTTCTGCGTACGTTCCAGTGACGACAGCACACCTGCCGCCCAAGGCCTTGCCCTGTGCCTGGCTCCTTTAGATGTGTCCCCTACCGGTGCCCCGTCCTGGCCCCTGAGCACTGGTCAGGGTCTCTACTTCACAGGTGAAAGCAGAGGTTCGGGGAGGACTAACTGGTGCCCGCGTCCCATGGTCAGCATGGGAGCTGGATTGCGGCCTGGGCTCCAACTCTGCTCCATTGTGGTCCTTGCCCCCACGGTGCCTGCAGAGCCACTGCCAGGGCTCGGTACACACCTCTCATCAGTCCAGGCACTGCAGGCCCTGGCTTGTGAGTATGAGGGGTGTGTACTCAGGCATCTTCTGTCCTTAGCATGTTTGGAACCAAGGCCCACAGCTTTATTTATAAAATCATTAAATGTCGCTGCTGGGAGGCCTCAAAGTCCCTGGGAACATTTGGGTCAGCCCCCTTTTGTCAGGGTCCAGAGAGATCACCGATTTCCAGGCTGATGGCTGCTGTGGCCATGTGCTGGGCTCAGATTCCTTGTTAAGCCTGGCATTCTTTCTCTCATCCGATTATAAGACATGCAGCACCTGGCACCACCAGGCTCAGTTATGAAGCGGGAAGGATACCACCAGGGACCTCCCTATGCTGCAGGCCACAGCTCCTGCCCTGCATGCACTCCACCCCGCTGTCTGCGGGCATTAGGTGTGTGACCGGTCACTTGCCAGCTGGTCCGCAGCCCTCCTGCCCGTGGGCCTGAGCTCTCACTGTGCTTGCTCTCAGAGGTGTCCTGGTGTCCTTCGTCGGTGTGGGGTCGTGTGACCCTGGGCAAACCAGGAGGCCAGGGCTGGAGCTGGGCTGGCAGGCACAGCAGCCAGACGTGTTGGGCCCGAGTGCCGTCCGTGGTGAAGAGCTGGCTTGGGTCCTGAGGGGAGAGGAATGCCAGGAACATGGGGCTTTGGGGCCCTTTTCCCCATGGAACAGAGCAGTTTCTCATATTTTGTTTCATAATTTGGACTTTAGTGTAAATGTCCATTTGAAGAATTGGTTTTGTGGCTAAATAAAAGCTCGAACCCGAGTCACTGCAGGATAATCCTCCTCCTCATCCACCTTCACTGGCAGTGACCGTGCTTATTATGTGCCAGATGTGACTCCCTCTCCTTGAACCCACGGCACACCCGCTCTCAGCCGGGAAGACAGAGGCTGGCAGGGCCTTCATCACACAGCTCTGGGGCCCTGGGGCCGGGCTGCACCGCCCAGGTTCCTCCCTCCTGGCTCTGGGGTGGGACCCCTGCTCACCTTAACCTCAGCCACTGTCACATCTGCCCTGCAGGGAGTCATGAGGACTGTGCCTGTAGGGCCATTCGCGCAGCGCCCTCTGATGGCACCGGTGCCCATGAGACACGGCCTCCACCAGCCTCGCCCCACAGGCCCCTTCCCGCTGTGGATTTGCCTCCGCATCTGCCTTCCCCGCGCTTACCTGTGTCAGAACTTTTGTAAATCGTGCCTTTCCATTGCACTAGACTGAGGGTGCAGAAAAATTAACAGCATCTTACTCAACTCACTAGACCTCGGATGAATTTTTTTCCCCAGAAGAAAACTAGCGTCACATTTTAGATGAGATTGCTAAAGAAAATTTAAAGTGAATTTTAGTTACAAAACGTAGGCCGAATCCGAAGGTGCCCCAGCTGTCGTGTCTATGACTGAGGGGGACAGGGTGCAATGTGGTCTTGTGGCCCTGTGGCTCCTGCACCCCCACTCTTTTTGTTCAAAGATGCCTGGAGAGGGTGAGCCCTCAGTGAGAGGAGGTGGTCCATCCTCCAGGGGCCTGGGGCTGCTCCCCGCAGGCATCTCTGGGCAGTGTGAGCGTAGGAGGGAGGAGGGAGTCACCGCAGTGACCGGCGGTGCCAGTCACGCGTCCCATGCCTCTACCTGCAGGCCAACCCCAGCGCCGACCTCTACTACAGCGTGTTCAGCGACCCCCTCTATGTGGCCACATTCAAGATGCTACGGGACACTCTGTACTACATGAAAGGTGAGGGTGGGGTCCTGCCCTTGTGCCAGGGCCGCTTCACAGCATCTGCAAGGAACGTGGACACGTTCCTGGGAGAAGCAGGCGATGAGGGACATGCACCTGTCGTCCTGCCCCCGGTGCTGCCAGCAGCGCAGCCTCTTTGGTGGGTGTGTCTCCTCGGCTGATGTCTGACACGGACATGTGGGGTCGTCCTGATCCCCTGGTCAGGCATACAGTCTAATGTGTCTGCCTTACATGTTTCAAAACATTAAAAAAATGAGAAAACGAGGCAGTCGTGATCTTACAACTCAGAATAATTTGTCAGTAGCGGAGCTCACACACGGAGTTAGGAGTTCCTTCCAGGCTCTCTTGTGTGTTTTAAACACAGTTTTCCTAGGCTCTTCCCTTAAGTTGCTGAATGTACTTCATAAACAAAAGCTTTGATGACCACATGGTGTCCTGTGGGTGTCCCATAATCTCCTTAGCTGTTTTCCTGATCTGATTCCAAGCACTGCTGGGGCCTGAACCTGGTTGGGGCCACCATGAGGGCTAGGTTCCCGAAAAGCGGCAGGTGCTGGCTGCTCGGCCTGACCCCGGAGCCTGTGGCCTCCCCTAGCCAGTCTGCTGCTGGCTTTCTTGGCCAGTCTGCCCTCTGCCTGTGCCGTCTCTCGGGTCTCCTGCACTGTCCAGGCCCGAGGACGAGAGCTGGGAGAGGCTGCAGACTGGGTGCCTTCCTGTGCAGGGGGTCCTCCTCGGGCTGCATCCAGCTTTCCCACATCTGATAACTGACGCCCTTTTTAGAAAGTATCACAGGAGTACTTTTCGTTAATCAGACCAATTCTGGTGATGGCACTCCCCAGGTTGTGTCTCGTGTTCAGGTTTGAGTGTATTGACAGCTTAAAACAAAGCATGGCTCGCATTTCGCTGGGAGGTGACCATTCTGAGTGTCAGGTAGCATGTGTGCAGGGCTGGCGTGCGTGCCCGTCCTGGCTCGCCCTAGCCGGCCTTCCTGGAAGCATGGTAGCCAGCAGCAGCTCCCTCTCCCTGGGTGTCTGTCGCAAGGGAAAGACCACGGCTGCTCACAGCCTGAATCTGTGCCCGCTCTCCCTCCTGCAGACCTGCCCACCTCCTTTGTGAAGGAGGTCCATGACTTCGTGCTGGAGCAGTTCAACACCAGCCAGGGGGAGCTCCAGAAGATCCTGCACGACATGGACCGGACCCACAGCGAGCTGAGCCCCCTGAAGCTGCGCTGCCAGGCCAGTGCCGCCTGCGTAGACCTCATGGTGTGGGCTGTGAAGGACGAGCAGGGTGGGTTCCCCGTGCCACCGCCTGGCGTGTCCTCCGCTTATGAGGAGAGGAGGGGGCTCAGGGCGGAAGATGGTGCTGGTCCAGGAAGGTGGGGGTTCGGGGGGAGCCACGCTCAGGACACGGGACAGGGTGGGGGCTGGCAGCGGACGGATAGCCCACCCCGCAGGATGGTGTCGTCATAGCAGCAGGAAAGGAGCAGGGACGCCCACCTCCGACACTTTGTGGTGGAGCTGCTTCTCAGAGTTAGTGAGCCCGGGGTTTAGTCACGTTCTATTTTGACTGATGAAGGAGTTTTTGTGACCATTGGCCTTTGCTAAAGGTCCGTACCCTCCTCTGTTCTGAACTTAGGCGCAGAGAATCTGTGCATCAAGCTGTCTGAGAAGCTGCAGTCCAAGACATCCAGCAAGGTCATCATTGCTCACCTGCCCTTGCTCATCTGCTGTCTGCAGGTAAGTCTCACGGGCCCCGGTGGGGGTGGTTGGGGGCGCGGTGCTGACACCCGTCAGCAGGGCCTTCTTTTTTTTTTTTTTGCGGTACGCGGGCCTCCCACTGTTGTGGCCTCTCCCGTTGCGGAGCACAGGCTCTGGACGCACAGGCTCAGTGGCCATGGCTCACAGGCCCAGCCGCTCCACAGCACATGGGATCCTCCCAGACCGAGGCATGAACCCATGTCCCCTGCATCGGCAGGCGGACTCCCAACCACCGCGCCACCAGGGAAGCCCCAGCAGGGCCTTCTTGCCGTGGCCAGGCTGTGGCAGGCACCAGCAGCGAGGTCTGAGCTGCTGCCTCTAGGAACTTGAACTAGAGTCTGCTGTGGACAAGTTCAGTGCTGGGAGGCCACTGCTGACGGCCAGCAGGCTTTCTGCGAGTGGGGTCCAGGCACAGCCAAGTCCTGCGTTGTGAAGGCTGCCCTGCATCTGCCGGGTGTTCCCAAGGCCTCGGACGCCAGCCTGCTGTGCCGAGACTCTGACCTTGTCCCAACCCCACTGACTTCACGTTTGCCGTTGTGTAAAAGTAATGCTTGGTGCCCTTTCTCCCCTAAGTTTGTTCTAAAAGAGATGGACACACTTTAACAGTGAATCTCACCTTTGGGTGGAGAGAGTCCCAACCACCCCCTTTCTGTCTTTGTGCCCCATGGCCGGGTGGCCCTTGGAAGTCTGATTGACTTGGTGTCTGAAGGGGTGGGCACCTCCCCTGCGGCCCCTGATGGCCCGCTGTGCGTTGCAGGGCCTGGGCCGCCTGTGCGAGAGGTTCCCGGTGGTAGTGCACTCGGTGACGCCATCCCTGCGGGACTTCCTGGTGGTCCCGTCCCCCGTGCTGGTGAAGCTGTACAAGTGCCACAGTCAGTACCACACAGGTAACTGGCCGAGAGGCTGCCATCCCTGGGCTGCTCCTCTGCCTTTTCCTCCCAAGGCTTCCCCTGCACAACTCCCTGGGGTGCCAGGCCTCCCTCCCGCTGCCACTGCCCCAGGCCCCAATCCAGGCCTGCTCTTTTTGGCACCTGCCCTCTCTGGGGCATCCTGCAGTGTGCGTCCCATGTCCCAACGCTGGGCCCGGAGCTCTGTCCCCTCCGCTGCCACAGGCCCAGACCACGGCTGGTGACCAATGTTAATTAAGTACCCTGCTGCGCACTCGGGTGCTGAAGTGGTATCACCATGCTGCCCCCAGTCCCACCAAGGTAGTCCCACCCTTCAGGTGGAGAGACTCTGAGGGCCCTGCTCTCACGCTTGCCCACCCTTCCTGCCTTCCTGCTCGTGAGCTGGATGCCCTCAGGCCATGCCCTTGCCTTTCTGCTGGAGCTGAGCTCCTAGGGGCCAGGACTTCTGAATCATTTCTTAAGACGTTGCTGTTTTATGTATTCATTGCTTTGTAACTTAAGTGTGCTTCCTTGATTTAAACATTTGTTTCATTCTTTCTGTTCTCTGACACTTTGGATTCTGAAATGCTTGGTGAAGTCTTTGTAAAGTGATTGCTTTTATAGCTAAAGATGATTACATTTGATTTTGGTTTTGAATTTCAAACACGGGTATGGAAAGTGACAGGCATAACCAGATAGATATTTGAACTTTCACTTCCAGTTGCCGGCAATGATATAAAAATCAGCGTAACCAATGAGCATTCCGAGTCGACCCTGAATGTGGCGTCAGGGAAGAAGAGCCAGCCGTCCATGTACGAGCAGCTGCGGGACATTGCCATCGACAACGTCTGCAGGTGGGCGGCCTCAGGGGGTGAGGGGGACAGGGGCGGGGTGTCAGGCAGAGCCAGAGACATTATTGTTCAGGGAAGCTTCTAAACCTGCACTGGATCCGAAAAGGGAGATTGCTACATGTTAAAGAAAAAAAAAAAATTTCCTGCCTTTCTTTTCCTGATCATAAACGTAATAAAAAACAGAGAAAACCTGTGATTTGTAGAAAAGTAGACAGAAAAGAATTATCCCTTAGCCCATCATCCAGAGTGATGACACGTGGTCCTATTTCATCTTGTTTTCCGTGTGATTTTTGGTATAAATGAGAGGTTTTACATGCCCGAATGTCCCTTCGGCACCAGCTCCATCTGTGTGAACTCTTGCTGTCCACACTTGGGGACCAGATACATTCTGATTTGCAGGAGACGTACCTCTCCTTGTCTGAGTCCTGGCGCCTCGCTCTCGGGGCCATCGGGCTGGAGCCCAGCTACTCTGTCAGACTGTCTTCTCTGACTTTGTGGCCTGGGAGCCAAATGTGTGGGGAGCGAGAGATGCTTGTAAGATTTCATGCTCCTCAGGGCTGTTAGATTTCCCCTTCTCTAGAGCATAAGCATTTCTCCATACTATTAAAACCTCGATATGTAATTTTAACATTCCCTCAGCCACCGTGGGACCATCTGTCTTTCGAATCAGCTATTGTGACTTTTGTTGAGAAACGGAATTTTTAATTGGAATTGGCATGAGTATGACACCCTAAAGGAGACCGTTCTGGGCAAGATAATGAAGTTACTGTTTTCAAGTGAGATACTTGTCAAAGGGTGAAATCTACAGCTGTTCTTTGAATTCATTCTGTGTAATGATGTTCTTTCAGATTTCTGGGGAAAGAGTATTCAGAGCGGGTCTTTAAACCTTGCAGACCTGAGACAGGAAAAACTCAACCAAAATCAAACACAAAATGCTCATCTGGTTATTCTGATGCCTCATTCTGCTTGGCCTCCTCCTTGCTCAGGTGCCTGAAGGCTGGCTTGACTGTGGACGCAGTGATCGTGGAGGCCTTCCTGGCCAGCCTCTCCAACCGGCTCTATATCTCCCAGGAGAGCGACAAGTACGTCCTGTCCTGTCCCGGGGGGTGGGGGCGGGGGCAGCTGGTCCTGTGCAGGCTCATGGGGCCGCTGGCATTTGCACGTCTGTGCCGCTTTCTGGCACGGAATGGCGTCGGGCATTGAGTCTGTCCCGCGATGTCTGCTGAAGCCCACCTTCGAATGTACACCCTGGACACTGGGGGAAAAGACCTCTGTCTTCCCGCCTGGTGCTGGTGATTGCAGATCCCAGGCTGTCACTTTCAGATGGACGCTTCCTCTGAGAGACTGATGACCCTGGGGTCCAGGTCCTGGCTTCCGGCTTCATTTCCCTGCTGCGTGCTGGAGCACCATTCCCAGGGCGTGTCTGTCCTTCCCTCCCATAGGGATGCTCACCTGATTCCGGACCACACCATCCGAGCCTTGGGCCACATCGCAGTGGCCCTGAGGGACACCCCAAAAGTCATGGAGCCGATCCTGCAGATCCTACAGCAGAAGTTCTGCCAGCCCCCCTCCCCGCTTGACGTGCTCATCATTGACCAGCTTGGCTGCCTGGTCATCACCGGAAACGTAAGCACGGCCGGGAACCCACTCTCCCTGGGCAAGCTTCGCGAAACTCCTTGATTCCCAGGAATGTGAAACTACACATTAAGCTTACCCTGCGGAAGAGTTAAATGCTCCCAACTTTCTTAACACTGAATGGTGAGATTTTTTTCCAAGTAAAGGAGAATAGTGTAATGGTTCCAAGAGTGCCGGAGAAAGAGGTTTAAACTATTTTCTTGCCGATGTTAGTAGAATGGAAATGGAACCGATTCCACTCTTGGTGTCTAAGTTGAGGTTTGCATAAACCTTTAGGAAGGGCTGGCCTTGATGCTATTTCAGGCCCCACTGTCCCTGGTCCCCAGTGTGTCCCCTCTGGGTGTCCATGGAGGGCGCTTCCAGAGGAGATGTGGTCACGTGTCCCTCACTCTTTTCCAGCAATACATTTACCAGGAGGTGTGGAATCTCTTCCAGCAGATCAGTGTGAAGGCCAGCTCTGTTGTGTACTCTGCCACCAAAGATTACAAGGACCACGGCTACAGGTAAGTCTTCCCAACCTCATTGTTGCTCTCGATCCTTTGAAAATGTGAGATGTGAGGACTTGTCTTTTAAATAAACATCTTTTGTTACAAAAGCACTACATGTTAGAAATACATGTCCCAGGCGGGAATGACCCGCACAGGGCCGCCCCTGAGCTAGCATCTCTGAGCTCCTCACCCAGTGGGCACAGCGCCCCCGGGTGACCGTGTTCTCACAGAGCAGCACCAGCCTTCCTGCCTGTCGTCATCTTAGATGTCAGCATGGTGTCCATCAGGTGGCAGCGCCGCAATCTGTCTGGCCAGCCCTAGGCCGCACATTAGGTAGTTTTCCAGTGTTTCTGCTGGTTGGTGCTGCATACCTGTGCGGTCTCGGATGCTCGCCTCAGGGTGGATTCAGAGGGCAAGGGAGGAGACGTTGACAGCCTTGGGTGTATGATGTTTGCGTGAGTCCTCGCCCTCCCCAGGGATGCCCCAAGGACAAGACGCGTCCTCCTGTGTTTGGAGGATCTCATGGACTTGGTCAGATGAAGTCAGGAGGGCAGTGGGCAGGGCAGAGGTTCTCCTCTCCCCTCCTGACCACTCCACCCAGGGGAGGGGGTGGGAGTGCGGCTGTGTGAACTCAGGACATGCTCATCTTCTCTGTGCCTTAACTTCCTCACCAGCTGTGTGGGTGTATGAGGCTGTGTGTATGCATGTGACAGCTCTCAGCACAATGGCTGCTTCTCTGCCTTCTCACTGCCGCTCCCACGGGAGCACCAGCCACTGGAACGCAGGAGTGGCCTTAGGGGGCTGCCAGCTCACCTCCCTCTCCTGTCTGTCCGTTCTGGTCTCCGCAGTGACACTGACACACAGACCAAAACCTCTTCCCCTTGCATTTTGCTCCCAGAGCAGCTCCTGCGCCTCCTCGCCCCTCCTCTCCCTGTCTTTCCTTCTGACCTCTGATCCCGCCTCTGCCTCGCTGCTCGGCCCGTGCCATGTACAGAACTTACCAATTCCTCATCTTCTGCCACATTTCCTTCCTAAAGCACTTTCTGACAGTGCCACCCACAGTGACTGGTCTCCCGCCGGAGGAGGCATCCACTGCCATCCGTTTCCCCCCTAGAGATTTGTCTGGGAAGGGGTGCCTTTTGTCCTGGCTGCCGTTGCTCTGTGATTTTGGGGGCAGACAATGTGCTACATGCTTCACAGGGACTGTTTGATTCCCCCACGCCCTGCAAGGAGGGAATTATTATCCTTGTTTACTCAGGAAGAAACTGGGCCTTAAAGACCTGAGCTACTTGGCACAGCCCGGCTGCAGCAGCATCCAGCTGACCTGGCACTCAGAGCCCGGCCGCCCTGCTGGTGTGCAGTGTCAGCTTCCTATTCAGGGTTTACATGGGGTGAAGGGGTCGGGGCAGGTCGTCAGGACCACTGAGCACTTCCTGAGTGTCTGGTGTGAGCTGACCCTAACCTCAGCCTCAGGTGGAGGAGGAAGTGTCATCAGGGTTTCCTGGGTGGTGGTGATGAAGGGAGACTGTAACTGGAGGGGAAGTGGGTCCCCTGGAAGTGCCGGGGAGCGACATGCCCGTTCTCAGCTGCGTGGCCGCCCGGGCACTTGAAGGAAGTGTCCCGAGACTGTCAACACGCCCCAACACGCAGGCTCCTGGAAGCTGAGCAGCCCCTGGGCCCCCAACTTGTCTCGGGGGAGGTTGGGGTCTCTTCCGCAGCAGCTGACTTTCCTTCAGGGCTGGTATCCTCTGGTGGCATGTCCCTCGCCGTGGGGGTCTTCATTCACAGTACTGGGGGCCGGCACTGTGGCCGTGTCACTTCTCTCCCACAGGCACTGCTCACTGGCTGTGATCAATGCCCTGGCCAACATCGCGGCCAACATCCAGAACGAGCACCTGGTGGACGAGCTGCTCATGAACCTGCTGGAGCTGTTTGTGCAGCTGGGGCTGGAGGGCAAGCGGGCCAGTGAGAGGGCCAGCGAGAAGGGGCCCGCCCTGAAGGTAGGGCTCAGCCCTGGGCACCGCCTTGAAACCCGTGCTTTCTCCCTTTACCTGGTGACATCAGGAACGGGGGACTGGTTCCTTCCCAGGGTGCTGGCGGGAGTGAACAGACAGACAAGGGGCTGCCCCTGCAGGCTTAGCGGGACAGGCATGGGAACAAAATAGGGGCGTCGGGTGGTCTCAAGGCCTCTCTGAGGTGGAAGCAAGTGAACAGCAGCCTCAAGTGAAAGTCTCACCTAGGAGCGAGGGGCTGGTGCAAACAGGGCCTGAGACCCTTTGCCCTGCTCAGCCCTGCCTTGCTCCCTGCCACAGCAGGCTAGGCCACTGTTCCTCTTGTCTCTTGAGTGGGGACCAGTTCCCCGTGCCCAGGAGATGGGGGCTCGAGGGTGTTGGGGAGACACCTGGAGCCCAAGGAGGCCGAGGCTGTACCCTGTTGAGGGCTCCAGGGCCCAGCTCCCCCACCCCCACCCCCACCCCTCTCACTGCATCTCCCGGGCTCAACACTCAGGTGTCCTGCTTCGTTCCTCGGCTGGGGTAGGGGCTCCTTGGGTGCCGAGCTGAGCTTGCCCATGCACCCACCCCCCACCTGCAGTGACAGGCCAGGTGTCTGTGGGGCAGCAGTGGGTGGTGGGGTGGGGTGGAGACTGGCCAACACACTGACCACCAGGAGCTGAGGACAGAAATCAAGAGCTGGGGGGACACCAGCTTAGGACTCTGTCCCCACCCCTGTGTGGCCATGGGGCCTCGGCAAGCTGTCCTGACCCTGTTCATCCCTGAAGATGGAGCAGCCCTGCTGCGGTGGGCAGTCGATGCCCTCATGGTCAACTGAGCAGCTGGGCTTCCCGAGCCGGGCTGCTCCTCATGTGTCTGGCCAGGTGGCTGACTTTTTACTTAGTTTTTTTTTTTTTTTTTTTTTTTTTTTTGCGGTACGCGGGCCTCTCACTGTTGTGGCCTCTCCCGTTGCGGAGCACAGGCTCCGGACGCGCAGGCTCAGCGGCCATGGCTCACGGGCCCAGCCGCTCCGCGGCATGTGGGATCTTCCTGGACCGGGGCACGAACCCGTGTCCCCTGCATCGGCAGGCAGACTCTCAACCACTGTGCCACCAGGGAAGCCCTACTTGGTTATTTTTAAGTAACCCCCAAATTTTCCCAGACTTGGAAAGAATGTGTATTCATTATAGAAAAGATACAGAAACCTATAAATAGTAGAGTAAAAATTTATCTCCTTAGATCCAATCGTTGTTAACCTTTTGACAGACTTTCTCCTAGGTGCTTTATGCAAATCTATTTATTTTACGTAGTTGGCACTGTGTGAGAGCATACTTTCTTACATTTAACGTTTGATCTGGGCACTTTTTAAGGTGACAGTGCTTTTCAGAGCGCAGTCTCTGTAACAGCTTGTGATATTTGTGCAGAGTTGTCACGGTTTATGTAATCCTTCTCCTGTTTGACATTCAAATTGTTTCCCTCTTTTGCTGTTAAGATGATGCATCTTTATATGTGTTTCTCTGTATATCTTTTTCATCGTTTCGTGTAGATTAAGGAATTTCAGTTTTCATGACACTGTGTCAGGTCTTTTTTTTTTTCCTTTTCAATGAAAGAAGCGCGGGCTCACCAGTGACTCAGTTCTGTTCTCCTCCAGGCCTCCAGCAGCGCGGGGAACCTGGGCGTCCTCATCCCCGTGATCGCTGTGGTGAGTACCCGCCCATTGGTGTCTCGGACTCAGGTGCGGTGCTCGTGCTGAGTGCTGCCCAGAGACCTGCAGCGAGTTCCCTGAAAGGTGCTGTTCTGAGGCTGCAGGGATCCTGCAGCTGTGGCTGTGTCTTCAATCTTCCGCGACTGCCCCGTGGGCATGTGCCTGCTGTGGCCTTGCTGCCTCGCCCCCTTTCTCCATGCTTGGCCGAACCCCTGGTCAGCTGACCAGGACCCTACTGCCCGTTCCTCGGGTGTCGGGGTCTGACTTAGGTTTTCCCTGAGCTCCCAGCCAGCTCAGGTGCCTCTGACTATGGCCTGCAGGTGCTGCTTCCAACCTCTCCCCCCACCCCCAACCCCCCATAGTGAGCCTGGGGCCTCTGGTTGGTGCCTGGGCCTTGGGGCTGCAGCCCTTGGTGCCCTGTCGGGGATGGCTCAGGCCTGTCTGCCGCAGCACTGCCGCAGTCAAGGGCCGGTGTCCGTCTTGTCCTGTCTCAGCGTGCGGCCACTTCTTCCCAAATGGCCCTTACGGATGTCACTTTTCCCGGCCCAGGCGTTCCCAGCTGCCAGACCTGAGCCAGGCCCGCGTCCGGCTTTGTTTCATTGGTGATTCTCGAGCTGCCACTTAGCCTGCCTTCTGCTTAAGCCCCTGCTTCCGCCTCCAGTTCTCCCTCTTCGTTCGAGCATTTACGTGGGTGTCCCCGCACGTGGAGAGGTTGACCTCTGGCTGCGTGGTGACCCAGGGGCGTCGAGGCCCGGTGGGCGGTTGGGGAGCCCTCTCCTATCTCTGCAAAGTAGTTTCGGTCTCTGCTTCTGTGGGCATTTGTCATTTGAGTCTGGGGACTGTTGAGAGTCCAGTGTCAGCCGGCCAAGGCGGATGGGAACCGGCAGCTAACTGGCTTATCGTCCCTGGCTCTGATAGTGAGACTGATAGTCGAGGACTATGTCTGGGGTGGGGGGTGGGGTTTCGTCTCGGGCCACCCCCACCCTCTGCCTGTCCCCTCCTCCCTCCCCCGAAGGTGGCTGACTCAGCCGGGCTCCAGGACAGCATCTCTCCCCAAGCGTGCTGCAGGGTTGGAGCTTGGGCTTGCCTCATGCCTCCCACTTTCCCCGGGAGCCCTCCCACCTCTCCCTGCGGTCAGGGCCCCCACAGCCCCTCGAGGGCCTGTGGGTTGCTGGGACCCTGCCGGTTTACACCAGCACCCACAGGTCGGTTTCTAAAGACGTCATGGTTGACGTCGACTCGCGCACAGTGCATTGAGAAGCGCCACGAGGGCACTTTGTTGGCCTGGAGGGAAGGGCGAGGGGCATGAAGTCCTTGGCCCGTGGAGGCTCCATGGAGAGCAGGTTTGGTAGACAGGGAGCACGCCCGGGGGGCCTCTCAAGTTAACGAGTTCTGGGATATTTGAGCCCCACAGTTCTCTGACCCGTGTGTATGCCTGTGAGCTTGTAAGTGTGCTTGGCGGTTGTTGTTTGGAGTTTAATAAATGCATGGAAGAAGTCTATAGGGGACACTTCGCACTTTGGGGGAGCGATGACTTGTAGGTTTGGTTGGGGGCACACCAGTTTTAGGGTCACTGGGGCCAGAGTTGGACTCCTGGCCCTGCATGTGGGGTCCTGGGAGAGTGTCCCAGTCTCTCCGCACCTGCTCTGCCAGCAGAGTATCTCAAAAAGGTGGGGTGACTTTCTGTGGGGCTGGCGCGTCAGGGCAGGTAGATATGTTAGCAGTGATAGGCTAGCACATGCTCACCTGAAACACCCGTGTCTCCTCCAATACGGTGACCTTTACATGAACGGAATAAGTATCGTCGTGTCAACAAGTTAATGGTTATATTGTGGAGGAGAAAACAAATATTTGATTCTGTTGCTCAACACAGAGCCCAGATGCCATGGTTCTTGCCTCTGCTCTCTGGTTCTAGCCCTCACCCTAACCCTGGACCTTCTGGGAGAAACTAACTTCCATAGTTTTTTTGTTTGCTTGCTTGAACGTTTTATACTTAAAAAAATTTTTTTTTTAATTTTTTATTTTAAAGAAAAAGATAACTCTGTTTTGGATTTTTCGATGACACAGTGTCTTCAGTGACTTAGTTGAGTGGACGTGCCAGTGGGTCTGGGCAGGAAGCATGGGTTTCTGCCCTAATGCAGCTGTTCCCTTATCAGTGATCTTGGGAGCCTGGGGTGGGGGCGCCAGCTCACATGGCCTCCGAGGCTCCTTCCTGCCTGCGTTTGGTGGTCTTTGTCCTGTGACTCTGTGATGCTCTTCAGAAATGTCACTGATTCCATTGCTTGAACCTATAGCTGGAGACATAGTTGCCCTGCTGTCACAAAGCGTGGAAAATGTCCATGCACTCCACTCGGCCGGGCACCCGGGCCACTTGCAGCTTGTGTGGCCTTGGACAGGTTATTCTCTTGGTGCCTGTAAAAGGATGTTTGGGGACTAACACTTTCAGTCATAGACCTGTGTGAAAGCTGCTCCCTCTTCCTCGTAGAGATGGTGTCTGTCCTCAAGGGTTTGTACTTCACCTCAGGAAGGGAAGGGGGAGGGGCCCAGGTAGACCCCCAGTTAGGGACCCCTGGGCTGGAAGTGGTAACCCAGGCACTGACCTGAACCCCTTCGAGACAGTAACCCACTTCATCCTCACAACAGCCTGCAAGATAGGGACTGTGTTATCCCCGTTTCACAGACAGGAGACTGAGGCACAGAACTTGCCTCAAAGTGCCAGAGCCGGGAGTGGAACCCAGGCAGCCTGGCGCAGGCCTGTGCTCTGGGTTCATATCTGCCGCATGGAGGCACCTCGTTTCTGAAGGGGGCCCAAGGGCATTCTGAGCAGATTGAGGGGCTGGAGCTCTCTGACCCTTGGGAGTCAAAGAGGAGCCTGGACCACGTGTCTTCATGCCTTCTGGGTGGGGGATGTGGGGAAGGGCTGAAGGTGGAGTCTTGAGATGCACATGGGGGTGTGGGGGAGGAGCCAGAGGAACCAGCAGCAAGACCAGAAGTGTCAGACAAGCCCAGGGGAGGACAGTGTTGACTCAGAATAGAGGAGGACTTGGAGAGGGTGGTCAGCAAGCCCAGGTTCCCTGAGAGGGCAAGAGGGATGACAGGGAAAGGCCCCCACTCCCCTGGGTGGCAGACACTGGACGGGCCCTGGCTCAGGCAGTGGGGAGGGGGCAGGGGGAGAGGGTGAGGGGTGAAAGCAGGGCCGGGGTGGGACTCAGGCCTGTGGCTGAGCGCGCCCCCTCTGTAACAGTGGAAGCCCCAGGTTGGTGTGAGGATGGGGATAACCCAGCCTCCACATCGGGGAGCATTCTTGCACCCCTTTGCTGCCTGTGACTGTGTCAGTCTCGCTGGGTCAGAAGCCCTCTGTGGAGTCAGGCCAACCAGGCTTCGACCCCAGCCCACTGCCCACTGCAGGCCCGTGGGGTCCCAGTCTGACGGCCACACGCGTGGCAGTTGTGAAGCCCCCGGCGCTGTCCCCCGCCCCACACTGCGGAGGCCTTGCGCTCTTCTTCCTGAGCAGCCTGTGTGGATTCCACTGGTCTTGCCCCGGAATCAAGGGTCCAGAAATATAGTCCTTGGATGTCGCCCGTTTTCTTGAACCAGACGCACCACAGGCACGTCTGAGGGTCTCCCTGTGTCTGGGGATGGAAGCTGAAGCGTGTGCCGCACATACAGACTGGTGTTTCTGGAGCCCCCAGGCAGCTCCATCCACGCCCCCCCCCCCGCCCCCAGGATGCAGCAGCACTGCCACATCCGAGCCCGAGGACGTGCCTGCTCTGGGTCACTGTTGGGCACTCAGGTCACTCTGTCGATGTCTAGCACTGCTGGGGTGTCAACTATTTTGAATGTGGCCTTTTTTACTTATCTGACCTTATAAAAGTAGAATTATACCCAGTAAAAGTGGCAATATTTATTTATCTCTAGGGTGGAAGGCATGGCTATGGGTACATGCCGTCCTCTGGGCGGCCGTGAGGTAAAAGCAGGTGCAGAGACATTTAGCCTCAATTCAGGAGGTTGGGCCTTGAGAGGACTGAGCCGGAGGCCAGGGCACCCTGGGCCTTGGGGAGGGGGCTCGCTGTCAGCACTCTGGGGAGGGGGCAGCTCCTGCCCATGTTCCCTGTCAGGTGGGAAGCCCTGGGGGGGAAAGGCTTTGGGTGACAGAGTGGAGGAGGGGGGATGCTGGGCCCGGGGAAGGGTTTGCTGTGAGAGGTGAAGGGAGTTGGTCTGTCTGGCGGCAACATCCTCTAGGAGACAGCTGCCGCGCTGCAGCTGCGGTGACCTCTGGGCTGTGCAGCCCTGATGGTGGCAAGCATCGCGGTCCTTCGTCCATGTCTCCCAGAAAGGTGGCCTGAGCCACGGGGTCACCGCTCCAGCTCCTCGTGGTCGTTGTTGGAAGGGAAATGGAATTGCGGTTGCCCCAGAGCACTCGAGACGCCCCGGCCTCCACCGCTAAGACCTGGTGGGGTTGGCGACCCGGCCCAGGAAGAGCAGGCAGCCCGTGCGGTGCTCATACACAAGGAAAAGGAAGGGCCGGTCGACGCTGAAGCGGACCTGGGTGGACAATGGCATGAACCCCACAGTGGTCACGGCCGCGGCCTGCGTACCCTCCTCGTCCACCATGATGGTGCCTTGGTGCTTGAACTGTGTCAGGACAAAAGGGAAGCTATCAGATAGCGGTGGTCACTCACAGACGGGCAAGGGGGGGTAGTCTCGTGTTCTTCAGGGAAGGGACCAAGCGAGCGCAGGGGAGGCATTGACGTGGCTGGGCAGGATGGCCCTTGGGACTCAGTCCTCACGCATCAGCTGAGTGTGATGTGAACGGTGCCACCTTGGCACTGTGCACCATGGCCACTCAGGGCTGCCCACAGCGCTCTGCGGGCAGGACCATGGCCCTAGAACCCCCTGCTCATGCTCTGGGGCCTCTGCCATAGTAGGCCTGCTGGGCCGGGGTGCTCCCGGGCACCTGCCTTCTCTCTGGTATCAGCAGGGGCTCCAAGGGGGGCAGACCTGGGGCGGGATGGGGATGGGCAGAGGACGGGCATTACCAGGTCAATGACAATCCTCTGGTCCGAGATCCCCGTCATATTGCTGTTCCTGTCGAACAGCGCTGTGACCCCCAGGGACCGCAGGGCCTCCACCAGGTTGTAGTCCTTTTCTAGCTTGAACTTGGGCAGGAGTACTTCCCGTGTCCTGGTCAGGGAAGAGAAGGGCTGGTTCTACTAACTGCAAGTTGCAGAGGAATCACGTTTCCCCTTAAACGTCCATAAACACACACACCCGCCTCCAGTCCGTGTACCACAGGATTGACACAACACTTCTTAAAATGCATATCCTTGTCCTGCCAGTGGAGGATTTTGGAAAGACCATCCCATTGTAATCCCAGCATTCAGAATTGAGGCATGGTTACTGCTGTGCAGTCATGTCCTCGGTACTGTATGGTTTGTGTCCTACCAGCCAGGGGGCAGAGCTGTTACTGGCTTATGGCTCAGACATCTGACATCATTCTCTCACTTGGGTCCCTGCTTTCAGGCATTTGGTATTTTACTGTTTAAGGAGCTGAAGTGCAGGTCAGTGCACTTAAAAACAGTGCTTTCTGTACCAGCCAGTGCTAGCGTTCTCCATCCTTGACGGCGCTTGTGGGGCTAAGACGCCAGACGCGCCCCCTTCTCAGGAGCTTCCTTCCCTCTTGGTGCGCCAGGACCCCATACGTGAAGCAGCAAAGCATAAAGACCACCTGTTAGCGTCCGAGTGACAAGAACAGGCCTAACCACTGGGCCATCCTGGAGGAGGGGGGACAAGATCTGGGGGCCCTGAGCAGGGCCTGCTGGAGGGAGTGCAGGACTCTGGGCAGGAGGGCAGGGGAGAGCAGAGCAGCGTGTGGGCCAGGCTGGGCAGCGAGCGGGCTGCATCCTGTGGGTGGGGGTCCACAGAGTTCACAGGAAGAGGGAGGTGGGGATGCTGCCTGGTGGCTGGTGGCAGGTAGACGGAGCATGGGACGGCAGGCTGGTCAGGCCCCCGCTGGCTCAGGGTGAAGGTCGTGGGCAGTGAGGTTAGGAAGGAGGCTGGTACGGAACAGGTTTTAAGGAGAAAATGACAGGGCTTGATGCCTGCCCAGCTGCCTGGACAGACCTGCCCCTAAGAGCCTGCCTGTCCCTCAGTTGCATTTCCTTGTATCCTGGTCCTGAAAGGAGGCCCAGACCAGGTTCAGCTGTTAACTCGGGCCTGGCGGGATCCAGGAAGACAGGGAGGTGACGTGTGCGTCCTTCCTGCGCTGATCCAGCAGCGCAACCTGTGGTCCTGACTGTGAGATGGTAAGTGACGCCCTGAGGGGATTTGGAGGACCTCGAGGCTTCTCAAACCGGGTTGGGGGCTTGTCTTGGTTCTAGGCCCACAGCAAGTGACCCCAGGGGGTCAGGGCAAGTGTGTGGCACAGCCGGGTCGCTCCTGCCCCCACATCACAGAGTACAGGTGCATTTCTCACCAACGCTCTCTGGTCTCCTCTCACCGAGTGGAAAGTTCGGGCTGAAGTCACAGCGGCCCATGGGGCACATGCCCCTTTCCCTAAAGTGACTGCAGCCCCAGCATCCTTGGGCCCCCAGTCCCCTGGCCCCAGAGGCACCTGTTTGTCATGCTCTTCTGCCATCTCTCCACCACTTGGGGCTTCAGCTGGGCCTCGAGGGTCTTCATCCCGGACAGCTTGTGCGGGACCACCACCAGCATGCTGATGCCCCCCATGTACTCCAGCCGCAGGACATCGCAGTCCAGCTCCTGGTCACTTGCCGCCAGGAAGGACCCCTTGGTCTGCATCATGGGGACTTTGACCACCTCTCGCTCATTCAGCCGGAAGTTGTGGTTGTGTGTCATTTCCGCTGGGAATTTGTTCACCCAGGACCCTGTGAGGTCAGCAGGAATGGGCTTTTGTTTAAATGCTCTCTTAGAGGGTTTGTTCAAACAGGCTGCATGGCCCACCCCCACCGTATGAACCCACAGGTCTGGTTTGGGCCAGGAGTTTAAGTTTCTCACTGGTTCCCAGGCGATACTGATGCTGCTGGTCTGGGGACCACACTGAGACCAGTGTGCCAGACCAGTGTGCTGGTCTGGCCCGCCCGCCACACTGAGAATCACTGTTTTAGAGGCTTCTTGTAGGAAGTGGATGAGGGCAGATGGGGTGAATAGACCAGGTGAATGCTGGGTTAGATCCTGACATTAAATAGCACATTACTTGCCTTGCCTGGGCCTCTGCATGTCTCTCTGTTAGATGAGGGCCCTGAGCTCCCATCAGCTCTGTGAGGACTGGCTGGATGCCTGGGGAGGCAGCACTGCCATTGCCACCTTCACTTTGGATTTCGGGGCAGCTTTGTGTGCCCGAGTGGGAACATGTCTTTGTGGCTCTAAGATGCTAGTAACTGGAAGTGAGGGCTGCCCGCCCACTGGTGAGACTGGTCATGTGCCAGGCCTCCTCCAGCCCCTTCCTGTGCTACCTCGTCTCCTAGCAACTGTGAGAGGTGGGGCTTTCACCACCCGCATCTCACAGATGAGCAAGCAGAGGGGAGAAGCCAAGTGACCTGTTCAAGGTTTCCAGCTGGTGGGTGGGGCACAGGGGGTCAGAAAAGCAGGAGGTTCCTGGGGGAGGCGTAACAGCAGTGCCCGCCCGCCTCTGGTCTGGGTCCAGGGCTGCTCAGCCCCATGAGGCAGGCATCTAAGCAGCTCTCTGCGGGGGGCCACCCTGTGCATGGTGGGTGTGAGCGGTGTCCCTGGCCTCTCCCCTCCCCCAGATTGTGCCATTTGCCCTGGGGGAGACCCCCTTTTCCCTGGGCTCCAGCCATGGCTTTCCCAGGTTTGCTGCAGCCACCCCGCCTCTCCCGGGTTCTCTCCTTCCTTTGCTCTTGAGGCCTAACCTCTGTTTTCACTGTGTTTTACAGAGTGCTCGTAACATTTGAAATTAAAATCAAAGTAGTGACAGAGATTTGGGAGCTAGAGCTAAGAGTTACACATCCAGACTCTGTTGTGATATGCACCCGTGAGAGCTGGTGCTGCTGGCGTTTCATCTCTCTGACTCCCAGCCCTGATCCAGCAAGCCTTCCGGTGTGTGGGCAAGGATTCATGTGCCCTGCTGCCACGTTTGCCGTCCTCATGACCCTGGTTCCCATGTTGGGACGTGTCCCTACCTGCTCTGAATACTGACTGCGCTGAGGCAGAGGCTCTGGAAGTCGCCATCCCCACAGGCTGGCAGGGCTGAGGGCTGAGGGCCTTGGTGCCACCCAGGGGTCTCCCACTCACTGTCAAAGTCACCCCTGAACACGGGACATTGCTCTCAAGTGTCACTGGCAACATCAAACCCACTGAGCATGTAACAGTGGGACTTGCGAGGCCACATGGATAGGGGAGTGAGAGCAGGGCTGACCTCCAGTTTTCATTCCCAAACCTGTCCCGCCAGCCAGGGATGAAAGGACATGTGTGTGTTCACTGAGCATGTCCCGTGTGCCTGTCACGGGCTTGTTGGAGCCTCGGCCTGGACCTGCCCACGGCGAGGCTGGCGTTGTGCCTGGCGTCGGGGGAGCCAGGGGTCTGGCTCAGCCTCTGAACCCTTCCTCCTGTCTTGGCTCCCTCCCCCTGCTTTGCCCTTTGGCAGCATTCCGCACAGCCGCTGGGGGCCTCAGCTTGGGCACGGAGTGCTCTGGCCCCACTGCCCCTCAGCCACTTCCAGGAGAGGGGCTCCCTGGACCCCGCCGTAAACCGTGCTGGAGCTGACCAACCAGGGAACGTGGCCTCCCGGGACTGACCTGGCCGGTGCCCACTAGTCCTTGGTGGCAGAGGGGAGAGTGGTTGCGTGTCACCGCACTAGTGTGCAGTGACCCCACTCCTCATGTCTGCCCTCGACTTGTTGGGCAGGTGGAGGGCAGTAGAGGTTTCTCCTGGCTCAGGTCTCACCAGGGCTTTTTTTTTTTTTTTTTTGCGGTACGCGGGCCTCTCACTGTTGCGGCCTCTCCCATTGCGGAGCACAGGCTCCGGACACGCAGGCTCAGCGGCCATGGCTCACAGGCCCAGCCGCTCCGTGGCATGTGGGATCTTCCCGGACCGGGGCACGAACCCGTGTCCCCTGCATCGGCAGGCAGACTCTCAACCACTGCGCCACCAGGGAAGCCCCATCACCAGGGCATTTTAAAAGCGAGGCCTGGTATTTACAGACCCGTGCCCATTTATCTCTAGAGTCCCGGGGCTGTGTGTGTGTGTGTGTGTGTGTGTGTGTGTGTGTGTGTGTGTGTGTGCGCGCGCGCGTGTGTGTGCGTGCGCGCGCGCGTGCAGGTGTGGGTGGTTGGCGGTGGGGGAGGGGTCCTCCTTAGGAAGTGCCTCGGTGCTTGGTGCTGGCCTGGAACAGTTGCTCTAGACATAAGGGTTGATTTCCCCGCCCCCACCTGCCTGGAAAGGAGTGGGGATGTGAATGTCAGTTACTCAGGGTGAACCTGTCTTCAGCCTTTTGTCCATTGGGAAGGGAAACGAAAAAGCTCAGATCCAGGTTGACCTGATGCTAGAAAGGTTTTTGCATTATTCTGATCTAACAGAGGCTGGAGCTTGGCTCTGCCCCTTACCGCCATCTCCCCAGAGCAGCATTTTAATTCCCTGTCTGTAAAATGGAGACACTCATAACAGTGGCAGTCTCTCAAGGCTGTGGCGAGGCGTAAAGCGTAGGGTTTCTAAGGGTCAGCTGCGCTGTCACCTCATCAGGACCTTCCCTGTCCCTGCGAGCTGACCCCGTGCCTGGGTTTCCCAGGGGAATGGAGGTAGAGTCTGCAGTTCGGCCCACCTGTGAGCTGAGAGCGCCCGCGCGTCTGCCCTGAGAAATGTCGCCACCTCTTACCTTTAAAGTAGATGCAGTTCAGGAGCATCATCTGAGTCGCGGGGTCCACGTCCTCCAGCACGTCTCTTATGAGGCCCTTGGTGAGCCGCGAGATGTGCTGGTTGGTTTGGGAGATGAAGGCGGGATCAGAGAAGTCAGCCGCCCGGACCTCGGCAAAGTAGTACTGTCGGACCTTGGCTCTGAAGTCGTCCAGGACTTGAACTTGCTTCTGAATGTACAGGTCGCTGACGGACCGCAGCGTGTACCCGAAATTCCTCCGGAAGAGGCGGTGGGTCAGCTTCCGGAACAGGTTGTGGACGGTGCCCAGCTCGTATGTGGTGCTGGCGTTGATGAAGTCGGTGAAGCGCAGGGCAGCGTGTACCTGCTCGTGGGTGTCCCCCCGCAGGCCTAAGGAGAGCATGGCCATGGCTGTGGACACACCTACGGGCGCCAGGAAGACATTGTCTGAGGCACCGACCTGCTCCTTCAGCGCCCGGTAGAGGTCTAAGGCGAACTTGGCGTTGAGGAGGTTGAGCCGCTGGATGCGGCTCTTGCCCGGGAAGAGCTGGAGCACGCTGCCGGCGCCAGTCCCAGGGTCCACGGGCGAGACCGCGTCCACGACGTCGATGTAGTCGTCATCCTCCCCGAAGATCTTCTCCAGGTCCAGGTAGTCCTCGTCCTCTTCCCCGTCCACGATCCACTCGTTGGTGACTGTGTTCTCCTTGTGGAAGTCGGCAGGCAGGAGGGGTCTGCTCAGGTTTCCACTCTTCAGCTGCCCCCACCGGGGGTCCACAGACTCGGGGTCTCCTCCTCCGCTATCAAGCTGACCCCGAGGGCCGAGTTTCCCACACACGGATGCCAGGAGGAGGGACACCACGAGAGAGTGCAGCAGGTGCTGCATTCTGGCAGAGCTGGAGCTGGAGGGAGAGCAGGACGTGGTGAGGGCAGCCTGGCAGACTGCCCCCTCCCCGCCCCCCCCACACACACACCTCTGCAGGCCCCCGGCCACGACCCAGGAGGGGCCCCATGGGTGCCAGTCTCTAATCATTTTAGGATCTGCTGAAGATAAAACAGACGCCTGACATTTTATGTGGCTTCATGAACCTGCCTGGAGGACCCCTGGGCCCAGATCAGAACCCCTTGTTGAAAGTGTGCAAAACCATAGGGCTCAGGGGCCCCAGGGAGTTTCCTTTTCATTCATTCACTGAACTTTGTGTCCCTTCCTCAAATGACATATTGGGTGGGCCCTGGAGGCACACAGGTACCCCAGCCGGATGGGGGCCCATGTACAGTAAAGCACGGCTCACAAGGACACTGCCAGGTGGGGGGCGGGGGGGGCGCCAGGCAGGCTGAGGCTCCTCCTCCTGTGCTAGCAGTTATTTGGGGTGGTTTAATCTGTGTGATTTGGACTGTGTCTGCAGTGCAGGGATCACCTGGGGACCCAGTGGACATGGTAGGTGCCGGTCTTCCTGCAGCCATGAGGGATGAGGGTACAACTCGCTGCAGGTGTACGTTTTCTCCTTGTGTCTGTCAGTCGGCTCCCACTGCTGTCAGGAGGGACTAGAGCTCTCCCACTGAAGTGTTTCTGGCTGGGGTTACAAATAGTCTCACCAGGTGTATAGGGTCTAGGTGAGGGTGCTGTCAGAAAGCTCTTACTGAAGGCCTGAGGGGCGCTCTTTCTATTTAAGTAAACAAGGCACGTTTTTAACAGATACTGTGGGATGAGCCATCTGTCTCCCATCCCTCCCTCTGTCACGTCAGTTTGGCTGCTAGACGGCTTTGTCCTTCTCTTGCTTCCTTCCTGGTTGTGAATTGCATCCTGGGAAATGAGCTATTATTCGATGCTTCTGTGTGTCCAGGACAGTGACAGCAGGTGTTTATACTGCTGCTCAGTCATGCAGGATCCCAGCATCCCTTCTAATCACCTCAGAAAGAGGAGAGTGTCTTGTCAGGTTTGTCATGTGTGTGACCATCTGGTACGTTTTTGAGGACCAGAATGTCTGCTTCCCCTCCAGGCCAGGTAAGAATCACTGGCTCCTGTTAGGTAAATATTGGGACTTGTTAGGCCTGAAGATGGTGTGCTGGCAATGGCGGTGACTCTCAGCGGAGCCTCTTCTGGGTGCCGGTGCTGGACCAGGGGCTTTGGTGACTCAGCTCCCCACGCAGAGCATTGTGCGTTTCGGGGGTGCTGAGCCTGCCTGAGTGTGCCAGTGACTAGATTAGACCCTGGTTAGTGGAGCCCTTCCCTGTGTCCAGGGCTCTGCCCGTTTGGCCTGGAGTGCCAGCACCATTGTCCCTGCCCCAGTCCCCACCTCGGCTCTTCCCTGCAGCACTCTTAACACAGTCAGGTTGCACAGTCCTCTAATCACGACATTTTGGAGAGGGAAAGTCACATGGTTTCTGACTTAAAACTGTCTGTTGTCTTCTCCTGTTCCCTTCCCTCCCCCCAGCCCGTAGCTGAGGCTGCCACACACGTTGCCTGCACTCAGGACACAGTGTCTAATGTGTGTGGCTGCCAGCGGAACCGGGCCCAGGTTCTGGGTAGAATTGGGCGTGGGTATTGATGGCAAGACACTGAAAAAGTGAGAAAAGAAGAGGTCTTCTTGCTAGGCTACACTTGAAAGTATCCTTCTTAGGTTAAAATAAGCTTTAAGGGCTTCCCTGGTGGCGCAGTGGTTGAGAGTCCGCCTGCTGATGCAGGGGACATGGGCTCGTGCCCTGGTCCGGGAAGATCCCACATGCCACGGAGCGGCTGGGCCCGTGAGCCATGGCCGCTGAGCCTGCGCTTCCGGAGCCTGTGCTCCGCAACAGGAGAGGCCACAACAGTGAGAGGCCCGCATACCGCAAAAAAAAAAAAAAAAAAAAAAAAAAAAATAAGCTTTAAAAAACCCAACTTGAATAAACAAGAGTTCAGGAAAAGGAATCTGAGACCAGATAGGGAGGCAGAGGTTGAAAACATTCGTGTCTTTTTGCTCCTGTATTCAGATAGTACGTGTGGAAGCTTCTTGTACTTCTTCCTATTCCTGTATTACACGATGAAAAGCCCAAAACACTTTGCATTATGCTCTCATCAGAGGAAGCAGAAGGTATCTCATGATATATCTCATTTTATGTGGTAAAAAATTAGGTACCTGAAAGGTAAATCTTCCTGTTGTTTTGCCATTTAGTATCACAAGAGTTAAAGAAGATACTTTAAAATTATCGCTAGGTTGTGTTTAAATCCAGATTACTATCTTTGAAGAGAAGCAGTATTTTTTAAAGGGAAATCATTCAAAAGTTTGTTTTTATGGGCATTTCCTATGGCACCTTCTCAGGCTGGCTGCGTGGAGCGGGGCTGGGCTTTGTGGTCCCTCGTCCCTCCTGGCTCCTGTCTCCCGGCCCAGACGGAGAGGGGGTAATGGAGCTGTGGACAGTCTTCAGGTTGAAATAACTTCAGGCTCACAAACGAGTTGAAAGCACAGCACAGAGAACACCCACCCTGTACCCGCGTCTCCAGACTCGCCAGGTCTCTCTACGTACGTGTGTGTGCGCGTGTGTGACACATGTCATTTTTCTGAACCATTTGTGATGCCCCAGAACTAGGGTGCCCGCCCACAGCCCCCAGCACATTCCCAGTTCAGGTCCTTAACCTAGCGCAGTCCCTCCTCCCCGGTTGGCTGACAGTCCCACTAGTGTAACTGACAGAATGTTATCATAGGCAGCTTAACAAAACCTCTTACCCTTTCTAAGATGGTGTAGAGAGCGTTTGAATGTAGTTGGATAGGGAAGCAAACCAGTTACCCATCTCTAACCACCTCAAATAAGAATTCATAATCGGCAGAAACGTTAGAAACCTACTCACCTCTGTGCTGCTGAGAACTGACTTTGCAGGGGCAGAATCGGCCAAAGTCACCAGCAGGCTTCAGTGTGACCTTTGGTGCCGGACTGCTGTCGTGTTTTCTAAAGTAAATACATCCCAGATCAAACACCGCTCAACTAGCTTTGTCAGCACAAAGCCCTCGTTGTGTCTTTGGTCACCACCGAGTGGCTTGTGACTCCCAGTGTTTGGAGGCCTGACCATCTCTGTGTGGATGAGCTTACAGGAGCAGCCAGGACACTCTGCGGCCCAGGGCTTGGTTACGTCGGGGGCGGCGGCTCTGATGCTCCCCTGGACATGGGAGGGCCCCTCTCGTGTCTTCCAGCTCCGAGTTCTTCCTCTAAGTGATCGCAGCTCCCGACCTCATCCTGGGCTCTGGGGTGACGTGCCTGCTAGGCAAGGTGTCCCCACCCTCCTGTGAGCTGTCCCTCCATGGACAGTGGAGGGGAGGGTGCAGGTAGAGACTCAGAGCACAAGGAGACCCTGGCCCGGGCCTGTCTGCCATCTGCAGGACATGCAGCCCCGCTTTGCTGTCCGTTGTGGGATAGCCAGGGCCGTACTGTGGTGCTTCCCATGCTCACATCCACTCAGGTGTTCGCAGGGGGCCGTGGCACCGTGATCATTTCTATTTTTAATTTGTGGTGGGTTTTTGGGGGGTTTTTTTGGTCACGCTGCACTATTTGCAGGATCTTAGTTCCCTGACCAGGAATCGAACCTGGGCCCTGGCAGGAGGCAAACCCTGGCCAGCACCTAGCCCATACTTGGCACTCATAGATCATAAGCATTTGGACCTCTGAGCACCCCTCGCTGAAGGTTGGTTAGCGCTGTGTGGGGGCTCGACCTCTGCTGGGGACTCTGGAGGGTCCACCTGTCCACCAGGTGTTGTGCACACGTAACCGTTTTCCATACCCAAGGCACCTTCCCCTGCCACGCACTGGGTGGGACACCATGGGGACAGGGACGCAGGGACTCCAGCCTCACCCCTGCCCCCGAGCACTCTGCTTTTACCTGCCTCACACCCTGCGGTTCTGCCCAAGGTCACTGCCCCGCCCGCCATGGTTCCGGCCCTTGGGCCTGGTGCTCCTGTGGCCAGGCGGCTGCTCCCTGTTTCCTGCCCATCTGTGAACACCAAGCGCCCCATCCCTGGGTCCCCAGGAACTCTGGGATGCTGCTTGCCTGCCTCCCGACGAGGCCAAAGGGCTTTTCCCTCCCAGTGCAGAGCCCGCCCTGCATACAAGAGGCTCAGGAGCGTTTCTGGGCGAGCTCTCTGAGGGCTGCTGGTTACTGTGCCCTGTGCCTTCTCCTGCCCAGTCTGACTGACCTGTTCTCTGAGAAGAAGCCTGGAGAATGGATCTTGAGCTTACGCCTGTAGGTGTCAGGTTCATATGCAGGTAACCACCTTCTCTCCCTCTCTCCTCGGCCCATCAGCTCACCCGGCGGTTGCTGCCCATCAAAGAAGCGAAGCCGCGGTTGCAGAAGCTCTTCCGGGATTTCTGGCTCTATTCTGTGCTGATGGGATTTGCCGTGGAGGGGTCAGGTAGGGGACGTTTGCTGCCCCAGGGAGGACAGTGCAGAGTAAGGACCAAGATGCGAAAGGGCCCGACCTAATGGTGCCTGTGCCCACGCACAAGACAGGCCCAGTGCGGCTGCCGCCTCCTCAGGGAACACTTCCCGAAGTCCTTTAGGGTTCTGGGAACACCACATACCTTAGGGAAACCTGCTCCCATTAGGAAACACACTCGTTTCTATGCCACATTTTTGGGACAGTGGCTCAACCAGAGGACCCACGACTCCAGAAGCTCAGCGTGGGCCCCGCCAGAGCTCTTCTCGAGCCAGGAGGCACCTCAGCCCATGCTCTCTTGCAGGACTCTGGCCAGAAGAGTGGTACGAGGGCGTCTGTGAAATAGCCACCAAGTCCCCCCTGCTCACCTTTCCCAGCAAAGAGCCCCTGCGGTCTGTCCTTCAGTACAACTCAGCCATGAAGAACGACACAGTCACCCCCGTAAGGATGCCTGCCTGCCAAAGACGGGTGGTACTGGGCAGGGTTTCGGGAAGCCCTCTGGGACAGTGAGGGCCAGTCTTGCATGTCTGGTTCACGGGCACGGCCCCGGGGTTTGCATCTGGGGGAGCAGCCACGCCCTCCCGTGCCCAAGCAGTCCTGGCATTTGTCCCTAGGCCGAGCTGAGCGAGCTCCGTAGCACCATCATCAACCTGCTGGACCCGGCCCCCGAGGTGTCCGCCCTCATCAACAAGTTGGACTTCGCCATGTCCACCTACCTTCTGTCCGTTTACCGGCTGGAATACATGAGGTACGTGAGCTTCGCCACCCGTACCCCCGATTGAGCTGGTCTTACGCTTGTGTTCCTTCCAGGCTTGGGCTTTTCTCAGTTCCTCCTAACAAGTAACCTGTCTTAGAAAAACCACCCCCAACCCCTTCTGCTCTTCTCCTGTGCTTGTCCTTCCTGATCACTGGATGCCACGTGTAGTAACACACCAGGGGTCTGACGCTGGTGCCACCTCCCCAAGGGAACAGGTTCTGAGCTGTCACCAGAGCTGCCACAAACTCAGTGCACTTGATGGGTTGGAGCCTCTGCCGGGAACCAGCCCTCTCTGAGACGCTCTAGGGCACCCCCCAGGCTGGTTCCAGGACCACATTGGAGCACAGACAGCAAACGGGAAGTGGGGGGCTGCTCCAAACAGTCCTCTGGGGCACCTGACACTCAGGACGCCTCTGCAACCACAGGGAGCTGACAGCTAGAAGCACTAACATGGATGGAGCACCGGCCCCACAGGCGCTGCACGAGCTCCATGCGCTGACAGGCCCCCCCAGCAAGCCCACAAGGTGGGCACTGTACACCCTACTTCACAGGAGGGAACCAGGGCCCAGGCGCTCAAAGAAGCTGCCCAAGGTCACGGTCCCTGATTTGGCCTGAGACCGACATCGTCTCCAGGGCAGTGCCTGCTGCCTCCCTGTAAAGGGAGACTGGAAGCAGCAGCAGGACGTCCAGAGCCCAGCCGCCCACCCTGTGGACCCGCTGTGGGGGGCTGCAGGAGGACATTTGTTTAGGTAACAAGACAGGTGCAGTTAGATACAGAATAAGGTCTTTCTCAAACCACTTAAAACAGAAAGTATTGATTCTTAAAGCGAGGGATGTTTGGACAACGCCACTATTTTATTTAACCTTTATTTGGTGCCGCGAGACCCTCCGGTAGATTGGATCTTGCTTGGAAGCTTGACATATAAACCAGATGGAAGCTGTTTTGGGTGAGTGGGAGTGAGTCCTCCCACCCTCAGTCCTCTCCTCCCGGCAGTCCCAGAGTCCCCGCAGCCAAGGGAGCTTTGAATTTTCTTTTTTCATTACACATTTTTTTTCAGTTGTATAAGTAATAGGAGAACATTATACAAAACCGTGGAAATAGTTGAGGGAAGAAACCCACTCTGCTCACTAGCACCATCCGTAGTGGTTAGTATCGTTCCTTCTGGTCTTTTTTTTTACAAAGAATATATTTTCACAGAAAAACCAAGCCAAACCAAAACAGCAAAAGCCTGGGTCTAATCCTGGCACGTGTAGCTCCAGGAGAGGCCTCTGGGCCCGCTCGGCCTCCAGCACCTGCCGGCAGGGCTGTGGGCTGTGTCCACTCCCCGGTGTGCCCCACGGTGACCCAGGGCTCTCGGGCAGGCTCTCTAGTTGGCGGGTGGTTCTGAGAGCCCAGCACTCGCCCGAAGCTGCCTGCCAGGTCCCCTGGACTCCTGTCAGCACCGAGAAGCAGCCCTGAAGCCTTTAGTCCAGAGCCTGGCTTAGATCCCGGCCACCAGTTATCAGGAGAGCTTTCAGACAACAGCACACATTCTCGCCATGTGCACGAGGGCACTGGAGAGTGTCTGCGCTTGAGCCCCCGGCGCCCGTGGAGCCTTAATCTGAGAGGGTGGGTGCGGACGTCATCCACGCGCACTGCTGAGCTCGCGCCTGGCCGTCTCAGTGGAGCCCCAGATGCCAAGCGCCCTGCACCGGGGCCCTGGTTCAAGCACCTGCCTTCCTTTCCTTTCTCTTCCTTTTTTCCTCAAGGGTAGGGATATTGTTTTACTTGTAAAAATGTCCATGGTGCGTAAAACAGAATAGAGAAGAAAAGCATTGGATGGTAGAAAAGATGCTAAGGAGGAGAAATGCACGTCTCCGTTTGCTGGCCCTGAGTCCAGAGAGGCCCCCTGTTGCCGTCCCTTAGCTTTCCCTTCTAGAAATCAGCCACGTGCTCATGCGTGTATCCCACCCGCACACAGCGGGATGTGGGATCATACCTGTTCACACCTGTCCCGCTGCACCTTGCCCTTTCCTCCCAGCCGGAAGTCTTGAATATTCTGTAGCAGCACAGAGAGCTGCCTCTCATTTTGGTGGCTGCCTGATGCGCCGTTGGCTGATGGACATGCAGCCGGTGCCATTAGGACCTTGTGCATGTGACCCTTAAAACCCCTGGCTCGCAGCGGGCGGCTGCCCTCACAGCCTCATCCACCCGGGCAGCATTCCATCTGCTGGGGGATCAGAGCTTCAGACTCACTCTGAGCTGTTCCCTGTAGGGTCCTGCGCTCGACAGATCCTGACCGCTTCCAGGTAATGTTCTGCTACTTTGAGGATAAAGCTATTCAGAAAGACAAGTCTGGTAAGTTGACTCCTGCGGGCTTCTCGTAATGAACTGAGATTTAATAGTGTAAAAAAGAATACTGCATCCTGTTTTCTGTCTGTGTCAAGGAAATAGTTTCATGAGGCTATGTACTACATTGGAAAGATCAGTATAAAATATTTGACTCTAAAACATATACATCTTTCTGGCTCTGCCTCTGCTGCCAGGGGCCCGAGAGTAGAAGCACTGATGCTCAGATGTGCTCCAGCCCCCAGGTTTCAGTCCCAGACACCGTCCTCTGCTGAGGGACCCTGGGCTCCTCGGACGGTCTGGATGGACCTGGGGCATCTTGCGGCCAGGGAGCAGTAGTGCTTCTCAGGCGTCTGAGGCAGGCTGAGAGGACTGAGAATCAGGCTGCAGGGGCTCCCAACTAACAGATTATCAGAATTCGAGCATGGATACAGTATTTCTATTATCTTGTTTAAAAGAAAGGCAAATATACTAGGACGTATATATCCAAATACATTAGGAGATTACATATATATTATGTATGATTATATATACGATATCATGATTTTGTTTCTCCCGCTAAAGTGTTCGTGAAGTAGGGACGTGTAGTTGTTTTTCTCATGCAATCAAGAAAGAGGGAGCAGCAAGAAAGAGCCGCATGGTCCAGGGAGAGGCGGGGCACATGTGTAAGGTCACACCTTGTCTCAGAGTGACCAGGTAGGAAGGGCGCCCAACAGGTGATGGGCAGAGACGCCCCACGAGCAGCCTGTTAGAGGCACTCGTTAGTGGAGAGCAGAGAGCTCGCTGGGGGGCATCCCTCTTCTTGCCATGGGGGCTCCACACCTCAGCAGGCCTGCTGCCCACAAGGAGACCCCACTCGCTACCACACGTTTCCAGCAGGCCAGGACCTGTGGGCCACATCTGATTTAAGACTGCATCCTTCTTTTCCGGGAAAGTTTCAGGATACAAAAGTCTGTGTGAAACATGAGGACTGACAAGTCCCAGGATGCAGTGTCCTCAGACCCTGGGCTCACAGGGCCTTGGCGTGACCAGTCCCAACAGGACGATACTCCCAGGGAGACAGAAACAGAATTAACCTCTCTAGGGTATCAAAATGTGCCCATCACCAAAACCCTACTGAGGTGAACCTAAGATAAGAATAGGAATTAAAACATGAAGAGATATTAAAATTGAGGCAGCAAAGAAAAAAAATTAAATGCATAGTATTGGCACTGTTTACCAGTTTTAGTATAAGGACACGATAAATTGTAGCATCATTGTGTTGGTCTATGTGCTGATTTATAAGGTATTTAAAAATTGAAGAGACTGAAATATTAGACCTGTGCTTTAATTAAATGCTTAGAAGAATATGATGGAGTTTATAAATGTGTTTAAATATTTGATGAAATTTAGTATGCTCAATCCACAAATTTTTTAATGTATCTCATGTAATAATGCATTTATTCAGTAAATGGTATTAGCAATCATTTCAAGTATTCTCAGAATAAAAGTTTTTAAGAAACTAAACTAGTTCCTAAAATGTTAGGAAGAAATTATTCATGAAGTTATGTTATAGAATCTTTTTAAACAAATATTGTTTTTAGTGATTGATTGCAAAAAGAATTAGCTTTTCAGATTCAATGAACAGTGTTTTACTATTCTTAAAGTCATTTTTTTGAATCATGCTTTCTGAAATTTCCTGGAGTCAATGGACACATACCTGCAGATATTCCCCAGTCTGAACAGATTATTCAATGGATTTACTCTTTTTTACACATTCTTCTAATTTACTCTCCAAGTGCCCTTGGATGGATGATTTTTTTTTTTTTTTTACAAGCATCCTTGATTTGCTAGATCCACAAGGTCTGGTTGATTAACAGTGTGGGAAAATGTTTTGAGGAATGCTGAGTAATGATTCTAAGGTTAATAAATTTGGCATTGATACAGTTAGTGGTGAGGAGTCTTAGGACTTACCTGGTGGCACAGTGGATAGGACTCCGAGCTCCCAGGGGGGAGGGGTTCGATGCAGGGGGCCCAGGTTCGACCCCTGGTCAGGGAACTAGATCCTGCATGCATGCCGCAACTAAGAGTTTGCATGGCGCAACTAAGGAGCCTGCCTGCTGCAACTAAGGAGCCTGTGAGCCACAACTAAGGAGCCCAACTGCTGCAACTAAGACCCGGCGCAACCAAATAAATAAATAAAAATGAATAAATTAAAAAAAAAAAAAGTAGTGAGGAGTCCTTCCCACGCCAGCACCATCAGCACACTGACGACTTGAGCAGCTTGTTCTTGCTAATGGAGAACTAATTCCCAGGTGTCTCGGGTACCATTTTTTTCTTCTGTTGAAAAATCAGTCCTTGGAGAAATCTTTTGAGAAATCACCTCAGGGACTGTGAGGTGCTGCTCCATGTGACCCTGCACAGCAGTCCAGAGGTTGGTTTGACTCCTGTGGGGCTGACGAGGAAGGACAGTGCGGGGCCCGGAAGCCCCCTCCGCTGGCAGCACAGGGATGGCCACCAACCGTCCTAGCTACACAAGGTGTGTCGTGGAGGAAACGTTGGTGTTTTCTCGCAGTTCTCTCGCCAACACTGTGGTTCTCCCGCTGCTGTTTTTAAAACTCTGCTCTACCCCATCAGCACTGACCACACCCAGTGCCCAGATCTTGGTGTCAGAACACTGTTCTCCAGTAGAAGGAACCCGGGCTCCGTGGAGGAATGGTGACTCTAGGGACAGCTGGGGCAGGGAGAGTATAGGCTGAGCCCAGGGCACCTTGCAGGGCCAGAAAGTAAGGTCATGCCGAAACGAGGAGAAAGAGAGAAGGAGAAGGTGGGGAGATGTGTTGCAGGGCCCAGGAGCCGACCAGAGGGAGCAGCCACACAAATGATGAGCATTCGTGAGTCCCTACTGACTAGATGGTTGAATAAATAAAACACGGGGAGGGACACGCCTTCAGGTGGAATTCCAGTTGCTAAAAGGAGAAAGAATGCGGAAGATAGAAAATGTCGACAAGAACCAGAGGGACAGCTGCCGCAGAACACACTGATAGATGGTTTCCAGGAGAAGTGGAGGGCTCTGCGCAGCTTGACGTGTACAGGTTCTCGGGAGCCGCTGCCCCCCACTCCCTGCCCCAGAGTGAGGGCTGGACCTGGGGACTCGCATCTGAGGGTAGAGGGAGCATTCAGGGCCAGCCCACCAGTGACGGGGGCACCGACTTCACCCTACCCCCATAAGATGCGACCAGGAGGGCATTTCATCTAAAATCCCACGAGCTTGGTCCAGGCATGAGCGATCATCACACACGCCTTGATTGAGGGACACCCTACAAGATGCCTGTGCCCTTCAGAAGTGGGGAGGACAGAAAGACTGGAAAGCCTAAGGAATCAGCACAGACTACTAGGCTCAGAGCCGTGCTGAGCGGATGCCAAGGGGTGCCCTGGACTGGGTCTCGGGACAGAAAGGGGGCCATGGGGGAAATGCAAGTAAAGCTGAGAGTTTGGGGGACAGTGTTGTATCAGCGACAGATGAGACGGTGGTCCCCTCTGCTGATGCCCTGCCCTCCTGTTGCAGGGATGATGCAGTGCGTGATCGCCGTTGCCGACAAGGTGTTTGATGCCTTCCTGAACATGATGGCAGATAAAGTAAGCCTTGTTGGAGCGCCAGTGCACGCCTGCCAGGGCCGTGCGGGGCCTGCAACCTGTCTCTTCTGAATCCAGGCCAAGACCAAGGAGAACGAGGAGGAGCTGGAGCGCCATGCGCAGTTCTTGCTGGTGAACTTCAACCACATCCACAAGCGCATCCGGAGAGTGGCCGACAAGTACCTGTCCGGGCTGGTGGACAAGTGAGCTCGGTTTCCTTCTGGTGCTGTGCGTGTGTTCACGTGTGTGCACATGTGTGTGGATGTTTGTGTGCACACGTCTAGATTTGGGATGCAGGGAAGGGTCGACCTTGCATCATCAGTACAGAGAAAAGTGGACTCAGAGTCACAGCTCTCAAAGGGCGGGGCAGCCCCCACAGGATGTTGGCAAGTGAGGAGTCAGTGGTCTAACCCTCCCCTGTTCAGAGTGGTCGGTGCTACTTAGAGCACATCTCCTGACCGGGTGTCGTGTCCCTGTTCTCGGGATCCCACCCTCCCTGCTGCAGAGCTCTGGGCTCACTCTGGGATGCTCACAGCCATCCTAAGTGCCGTCTCCCCGCCCAGGGCCCGGCCAGAGGACCTGGTGGAATTAGTTTCTCCCAGGCCCTCGGGAGGAGGGGAGCTCACTCTGAGCTGGTTCCACCCTGGGCTTTCCTTGCTGTATTGAGAGGCACGGCAGGCTCGTGGAACAGGTCCTCCCAGGTGAGGGCCCTCATGGTGGGCTGGGCCAGCCTCAGTGCACTGCCATGCCAGGCCTGCCTGCAGCTCCCGCAGGCATCCCCGGAGCCTGCAGCAGACACCATGTGCCCATCCAGGTAGGGCCGGAGGGCGTGTCTGAGCCAGGCCACGGAGCCTGCAGCCTGCTTCCCTTGGCCCAGGGCCACCTGCTTTGAGCAGCGGGGGGGTTTCAGTGGTAAACACTGCAGTGCTACACAAGCCACAGTTGTGGAACTGCGGAAACGGCAGGCCAGCTATAAGTTACATGCAAATTTTCTATTGTGTGGAGGGTCGGCACCCCCAGCCCCCCATTGTTCGAGGGTCACCTGTCCTGCCATGTTCCACGTGAGGGTACAGGGGCCTTGGTTGAAAACAGGGAGGATCCCTGTGGGAAGCAGGGAGTGGTCTGGCCAGCGCATAACCAAGATGATGGGGCCGGGGGGGGGGGGCCGGGGCTGGGCAGCAGGAGGGGTGAGGGGCCTTAAGGAGCACAGCTCCTTGGACAGGTGGCTTCTAGGCCCTGAGAGGTGGCTCTGGGTGCAGATTCCCCCACTTGCTCTGGAGCGGGACGGTGCTGAAGACCATGCTGGACATCCTGCAGACCCTGTCGCTGTCACTGAACGCCGTGAGTACCCCGCCCACCCTTCTGAGCCTAGCTCATGCCACAAGCCGTGAATGGGGGGTTGGGGGGCTCCCATCACAGATGGGAGGGGTGGGGGAAGGGAGGGAGGTGCTGCGCAGGGACCTGCTTTGGAAGAGGGACCTGTGTTCTTTCAGGATATTCACAAGGACCAGCCTTACTACGACATTCCAGACGCCCCCTATCGCATTACCGTTCCCGACACCTGCGAAGCACGAGAGGTGGGCCGGGGGTTCGAACTTCAACACAAGGCTCTGGGGGACATGGTCCAGCCCTGTGTTCACTAAGCTCTGACAGCCCGGCGCACCCTCTTCCAGAGCATCGTCAAGGACTTCGCTGCGCGCTGTGCGATGATCCTGCAGGAGGCCATGAAGTGGGCGCCCACAGTCACCAAGTCTCACCTACAGGTACTTTCTTGAAATCATCAAAAAGCATCCTGGGGAGTTCCTTCCAGTCTTACAGAGAGCTGTAGCCAGACAGCGTGCTGGAAATACCGACAGCACTGGTGTGAACTAGCAGACCAGGAACACTGGTCCAGGCCCAGGGTAATGGGACACCCTGTGGGGTGAGCATGCTGGTCAGGGGCCAGGAGGGCAGGTGCGGTGGGACTGGGGGGCAGGCCCAGGGGAGCCGACCGCTTATGGTAGGCAGGACTAGGGGTGCATGCAGGCTGGGCGAGAGTGGCATGGCCAGGAGCCCGGCAGGCCAGCAGGAACAGTGGCTGGCTCTGGCTCTGGCTCTGGTCCCAAGGGAGTGGCAGCCCGAGCGGAGCCATCTCTTCAGTAGATCAGGGCGGGCGAAGCCAGCCTTAGAGCCAGGGTTCCCTCCCCCACCTCACACGTGCTGCACAAGGCTTGCTTTTACCTTTAAAATAACACGGCGCTTCCCCGTCTCAGGAATACCTGAACAAACACCAGAACTGGGTGTCGGGGCTGTCGCAGCACACGGGGCTGGCCATGGCCACCGAGAGCATCCTTCAGTTTGCCAGCTACAACAAGCAGAACACCACCCTTGGGGTACGTGTGCCTCTGGGGAGCGGGGTCTCCAGCCGTGGGAGCCCTGCCCCCATATGGGGAGTTTGCGGTGTCTGTGGCAGACCCCAGGCTCGGGGGAGCTGCTCACCGTGTTTCTGACGGAGCTCTAAGGTTGATCCTTTATCAGGATCAGGTCCACGACGGACGAAGTGTCCTGCTGGACACGGTCAGCACGTTTTATGGTCACGCTGGCCTGGCCATCCATTGGACCGAGCTGCACCCCACGTCCTTGGCTTCGTCTCATTCTGCTCGAGGTTCATTTAGGGGCAGCACGTGCGCTGAGGGGTTCCCTCTGAACCAGATCAGAGATTTGCCTCAAAGCTGGTGGTTGGCAGCAGTGGCCTGTCCGGCAGTGGTGCGATTTGGCGTCTCCCAACCCTGGGGCCCAGTGCAGGGCCTCTGCGGTCCGTGGGAGCCCAGGTGGCCACGTGCACCTCTATGCTGCCCGCTCTGGGGTCAGGGGAGGCCAGGCGCCCAGGTGGGAAGGGAGCCGCCCCTTAGGCAGGCTGAGGATGCGGGCAGAGGCCAGCAGGGCTCGGTCCTGGTCCAAGGTGATGTTGCCTAAAAGATTTCGGGATTTTTCCACAGAAAAGTAGATTTAGGTTAGGTTTTTCCCTTTCCTGTTGCTCAGGAGGGAAGGACCCTTTTTATCTTGTGTTTTGATCGCTGGTTGTTGGGAGACCCCCGCCCTAGAGCCCCTGCCCTGCAGAAGGTGCAGCCTGTGGCCTGGCTGACCTCTCCGCCCAGAGGGGAGTGGGCTGGGGGCTGATTTGGGCACAGGAGCGGGGTCAGAGAGATGCAAGGGAGGGTCTGGCAGCTCTCAGTCCCTCAGGACTGTGCTCAGCCTGGCGAGAGGACCCCGTGTCCCCACTTCCTGGGGAGCAGGCCGAGGTCAGGGACAGTGAGTGGCAGAGCCAGTTTCCCACACATGCCTGCTCCAGGCCACTGTCTTGAAAAAATGTAACGCACTCTCAAGTCACCTTTTTAAAAATGAACCAGCCTAAAATTTTTATGAGAAAACCGTGTATTTTTTGTTTGTGGTCCAGTTTTACTGTTTATATCTTTTCCCCTGACCTTCTTTCCCCCCACCCCTACCACCCCAAAATAAAAAGTTGCCCAAAACCGCAGCATCTGAGGGTTGGTTGTCTCCAGTAGTGTCTGTGTATGACGACTGGCTGTGCTGGTGTGTAGGGAACAGAGCTGAAGGGACAGTGTGAGGTGGCCCTGGAGACACTGGGCGGGTCCAGCTGGAGGAGGGGCCTGGAGGGGTGGGCAGACTGGAGAGGCGAGGCCAAGGCAGGGTAAGTGGGGGCCGTGTGAGCCGAGGTCCCTTCCAAGTGTGGGCAGCCACACCAGTGGGGATGAAGTAGCTGGTCATGGAGCAAAGCTGTAGTCCCAGCTTCCTTCCGGAGATGTTTCAGAGTAAAATGTTTAAAACTCTGTTTTCCATGCGACCTGGCAGACCCCAGAGCGTGTTTAGAGGTGTTTCATTTTATTCACTTGCTATTGCTGGAGATTTTAATAACCCGGGTCTGAGCATGACAGCCTCACTGCACTGGGCTTTGGCCACGAGGGTGTGCAGTGACTGTCCCGTCTCTGCAGGCGACTCAGCTCACGGAGCGGCCAGCCTGCGTGAAGAAGGACTACTCCAACTTCATGGCATCCCTCAACCTGCGCAACCGCTACGCAGGCGAGGTAGCCGCCCGCCGCGTCGGGGCCCTCTAGCGTCCTCTCCTTCCTGGTGGGGGCGGGAGGTCTGTCTTGGGGGGAAGGTTTGGTTCTTGGAAGGAGTGGGAGCTCCTCTCTAGTCAAGTCTTGTGAATAAGAGAGCAACACCTTTCTTGGGAAAAAAAGTAATGTCCAACTCAAGAAGCACGTGGCTGATCTTGTTCAGCCCACGTGCAGGCAGCTCTGCTGTAGCTCAGTGTTGGATTCAGACATCAGGGCCGAGTCCCCACCCTCGGGGACTGTCCAGAATGGTGGGAGCAGCACTTGTTTCTAGAGGAGGAGTTCCGGGGCACCATGCGCGGTGGCGGCAGCACCCAGACGAGCCTGTCACTCCGCATGGGCAACGAAGCCCCGTGGTCTGGGTGACCAGGCCACATGTGCCTCCGCTGACCTTCCACAGGTGTATGGGATGATCCGCTTCTCAGACGCCACAGGCCAGATGTCTGACCTGAACAAAATGATGGTCCAGGAGCTGAAGGCAGCATTGGGCACGGGTGACCCTCAGCACTACACAGAGGCCATGTTCAAGCTGACGGCCATGCTCATCAGCAGCAAAGGTACCGCCCAGGCCCGGGCCACCTTGCTGTCCCAGGGAGCGAGTCCTGGCCACGCAGAGAGCCTGCGCTCCCCCGGGAGATCCCTGCGGCATCACGCACAGGACTGGGGTGGGTGGGGCTGTAATTAAAAGGCCAGCGCTGTTCCGGCCGGTGCCAATTGTCCTGCTGACCCAGGGAGGCTGTGGGTCGACCTGTCGGGGCCTCTGAACAGCATGCATTTGGTTCCAGACTGTGACCCGCAGCTCCTCCATCACCTGTGCTGGGGTCCCCTCCAGATGTTCAACGAGCACGGCATGGAGACGGCCCTGGCCTGCTGGGAGTGGCTGCTGGCTGGCAAGAATGGAGTGGAAGTGCCGGTAAGACGCCGGCTGCAGGCGGCTGCGGGGTGAGAGGTGGAGAGACAGTCCTGGCCCCTTGGATGACAAGCGTGGAGACCCCGGGAAGGCCCCTCACCCTACAGGGCCTCATATGTAAGCAAGACTGTGATATTAAAGCCTGCCCACAGGACTGTCACTGGGACCAGAGGGAGTGTGTTAAAGGACCCAGTGGTGCTTGAAGCTGTTATTTTTCTAAAGCTCGGCAGGGGGAGCCATTTCTCCACAAGTAGACACTTGTGTTTATCCACAGTGACCCGCGTCCTACCTGCCGACTCTGGGACAGCAGCCCTCCTGCTGGAGGGGGCCCACGGGGAGGGTCTACACACCCTTTCAGCTGATGGGATGAACACCTAAGAACAGATTTATTTTTCAAAGATCCCATTAATTTTCACAGTAATGGGATTTGACATGTTTTTTCTGAGTTTCTTAAGATAATGAGAAGTGGTCAGAAGGAGTGTTCTGTGTTTTTTGCCCCTGAGGGTCAGCTGGATAATTTCCAAGGATGGAACTGGAGTGTTCCAGGCGTGGAGGTGGCCGGCCGTAGTCGTACCTCCTCACGGAGTTTGTGTCCAGCTCACGGTGGCGGGCGTCTGTGGAGGGGCCAAGTCGGTTGTGTGGGGAGCAGAGACACTGGCCCCTGCCCCTCAGGAGGGAAGTCGGTTGGGTCTGGGCTCTCGCCTAGCTGGCTGTGCTGTCTTCAGGGTTCCAGGGCAGGTCCCTGCCTGTGTGTCGAGGGTGATGGCAAGGGGTCTGCGCAGAGTCTTTGTGAGGATGAGCCGACCTGGCCCACCTCACGGCAGCTGTTGTCACTGCAGGGCAGGGGCTCTTCAGTCACAGCTACGTCCCGCTCCGTCAGGACCCGTGCGTGTATTGTCTTCATCTGTGTTCACTGCTGTGTGTGATACACGCCTTGTAACAGTGCTGTCTGTGTTGTCAAATGCTTTTCCTAAGCCTTATGGGTGTATCCAGACCGTTTCCCCGTCCTCACTTACCTGTGTAAGCCTGGGTCTGTAGTTCTCCTCAGTGCTTCCTGGGCTGCAGGTGGGGGGAGTGAACTTGCAGCCTAGTTCACCTTCATCTAGTGCTTTGGCTGTTCTTCCTGGGTCTGTGATCCTAAGTTGCCTTTGGCATGTTACACACATCTATCATCTGTTGGCTTGCATTGTTCCTGGGGAGAAATCCACAAATTATCATCCTTTCTCAGTATGTGCTATTGTTTGTTTGTTTTTCCTTTTAGCTATTCTTAGGGTTTTTTTATCTTTGATTTTTAATAGTTTGACTCTTTTGTGCTTGGGTGTGGTTTTCTGTGTATTTTATGTTGGGATTCCTTGACCTTCCTAAATCTAGAGATGTCAGGTTTTTCATCAGACTTGGAAAGTTTCAGGCCAGTATTTCATTAAATATATTTTTTACCTGGTTTGCCCCTTCTCACTTGGGTTCCAGGGATGCCTGTGGTGCAGATGTTGTGACGATGGCAGTGTCCGAGGGTCGTCAGCATTCTCTTGGGTTGTTTTCATTCTTTCTCTCGCTTTGGTCCATTTTCATTGGCCTCCTTCCAGTTCCCTAGTACTTCCTCCTGCCTTATTCATTCTGTTGTTAAACCTTTTTTTTTTTTTTTTTTTTTTTGCGGTATGTGGGCCTCTCACTGTTGTGGCCTCTCCCGTTGCAGAGCACAGGCTCCGGACGCGCAGGCTCAGCGGCCATGGCTCACGGGCCCAGCCGCTTTGCGGCATGTGGGATCTTCCCGGACCAGGGCACGAACCCGTGTCCCCTGCATCGGCAAGCGGACTCTGAACCACTGTGCCAGCAGGGAAGCCCGTTAAACCATTTTTAATGTATTTTATTTCAGATATCATAATCCTCAGATCTAGTATTTCAGTTTCTTTTTTATACTTTGTATTTCTTTTTTATACTTTGTATTTTTTTCCCGAGAATTTCTGTATCTTCACCTTTTCTTTCTATCTTTTCTAGTAAATCTCTAAACATATTTATGATAATTATTTGAAAATCCTTATCTGGTCGGTTAGTTCTAGCATCAGGGTCATCTGTGTTCAAGTTTGTGACTGTGGACCTGACACTGTGTTTAGAAAAACAGTGGAGACTGAGGGGCCCTGCTGCTTTATCTTCTCCTTGTGCCTGGTGGCTGAAGTGAAGGCCGCACCCCCGAGGGGCTCATCTTGGCAAGAAGGGTGGGTTCTTCCTGCTTTACATCACACCTTCACATCTTCCTTTTTTTTTTTTTTCTCTAGTTGCGGTGAGCAGGGGCTACTCTTCGTTGAAGTGCGTGGGCTTCTCATTGCAGTGGCTTTTCTTGTTGTGGAGCATAGGCTCTAGGCACGCGGGCTTCAGTAGTTGTGGCATGCAGGCTCAGTAGTTGTGGCTCACAGGCTCTAAAGCACAGGCTCAGTAGTTGTGGCACACAGGCTTAGTTGCTCTGCAGTATGTGGGATGTTCCCAGACCAGGGATCAAACCTGTGTCCCCTGCATTGGCAGGTAGATTCTAAACCACTGAGCCACCAGGGAAGTCCCCAAGGAGGGGTTTTTATGCCAAGCAAATTGCTACGTCATTTGGGGTCTGTCAGACTCTAGTCTGTCCCCTGCCTCTGCCATCATCAGTAGCTTGGCTGGCTTGAGGTTTCGGCCTTGGCAGGTCCGTCCACCACTTGTGCCAGACCTAGTGCTGGCCCCAGGCTGTTGGGCTCATCCTTCCCAGGGAAATGTGATCTCTCTCTGGAAAGCAGCTCTTGGTAGCTCTTCACCTGCCCTCCTCAACAGCCCGACAGCTATGTGTGGGTTTAGTGTCACCAAGCTCTTGCTGTTGGCTCAGGGCTGAAGGCTGTCTGTCTCCCTGCTCCTGGCCTCTGCAACGATCTGCTGTCCAGGCCCAGCTATGCTCCACACCCCGAAGTGGGGGCCGTTCCCCTATATTTTTATGTCTTTAGTATCATTGCACCCTGGTTTTTCATTTTTTCTATTATCTGCCAATGTTTGCTGGTTATGAGCACAAAGAAGGAAACAAAAATCGTTCGTAGCCCCAACTCAGAGGCGGGTGCTGCTGGAGTCTTTTGCATTCGTGGGGAGATAAAGCCCGAGCAATCTTATTGGTCTCATATAGCACAAGGGTCTGGGCCTTCGTTCCACTGAGACAGGAAAGAATTCTGGTCCCCTGGTTCTGTAACCCGTAACAAGAGCACAGGCCCAGACTGGCCCCCACCGTCCGGCAGTCTGTAAACGCCCAGACAAAATCCTCATGGCCCTCTCTGCCCCCCGACACTCCACGGCGAGCCTTAGTGAATCCTGTCAGGTCTACCTTTTATCTTTAAAGCATCTTCAGAATCTGACCACCTCCCAGCAGCCCGGCCCAGCCCCTGTCTCTCCCCTGCACTTGGAGACAACCCAGCCCCTGCTTTCCCCCCAGACCCCTCCACCTTCTCTACACAGAGGAACCAGGAAAATGGATCAGATCAGGACCCTCCCACGCCCAGACCTGTCCATGCTGCTTGTGCTCACGCAGAGCAGAGGTGGACGGTGTCTGACCAGCAAGGCCCCTCTGCCCCCTGTTGCCGCCACAGGCACCCTGCAATCCCTGCTGTCCCGGCCCCGGTGGGCTCCTGCTTTAGACTGCGGGTGCCACTCCCTCCCCGGCAGCGCTGTCCTCAAACAGGTTTTCTCCAGGGCTGGTCTGAGCTGTGTCCTCCACCTGGGGTCTCCCCAGCCGCCCTGCCTGAAATGCCGCCACGCCGTCCCCGCTTCCCTTCACGGCTGTTTGCCCCCAGCGGAGAGCGCCGTGCAGTCTGTAGGCTGCTTCTACTCAGCCTGGACCTGAGTTGTGTTTGTTCACACTCATGCCCCGAGCCTGGAAGGCAGGCCCTGGCCAGGGTGGTGACCAGGACGGGGGTACAAATGGTGGGCAGGCAACCTGGTGGGCTGCTCCCTTACCCTCCACCCTGCAACACGTTTGGCTGCAGGGGCGACCGCCGGGAGTCCATCCTTGTGTCGTGGATGGGCTTCTGTCTGCGCTGGACTCTGTCCTCACCTCATGGCCTCCAGATGGCTTCTGTGCCTGCAGGCAGGGAGGAGGGCAGAGGCGAGCATCACCTCCCTGCCTTCTTCCTCAGGGCTGCCCCGACTCCCACTGCTCACTCCTGCTAACGAGTGGGCGAGGGGACCTGAGACTGGCTGCCTGGCGCCCTGAGCAGCCATGGAATGGGAGGAGGGATGGGGTCCCCGTGTCCCCGCAGGGGCTCTGGATGTCCTGGAAGGAGCCGCTGGCTGTTGTCAGGCCACAGAGGCTGCTCCCCTGCGAACCCCTCACCCAGGCTGGTGGGGTCACAGGCTCCACGCGGCCCCCACAGTTCTTCCCTGAGCCTGGTTAGCGGCATAAAGGTGTCGTGTGGGGTCCATGGGGGTGGAGAGGAGGAACTGGGTTCTGGAGCCCACCACGCCCCTGCCACTGCCAGCCCAGAGGCCCTGAGCAGGCGGCCTCCCCTGCGTGGTTTCCAGGCAGTGCTGTCACAGGTGGGCTGCACCACAAAGCAGGACACCTCCTGGCTATGGTCCAGGAGGGGCTTCTGGTGAAAAAAGGCTGGAAAGTGGGATCATGGGGAGATCTTAGTGATTTTTTTTTTCATACCTTCCTCGGTTTTCTAAATTTTGTTCAGTGAGCATATATTCCTTTTATGATTAAAAAAACAAAACAGGGGGCTTCCCTGGTGGCGCAGTGGTAGAGAGTCCGCCTGCCGATGCAGGGGACACGGGTTCGTGACCCGGTCCGGGAGGAGGCTGGGCCCGTGAGCCATGGCCGCTGAGCCTGCGCGTCCGGAGCCTGTGCTCTGCAACGGGAGAGGCCACAACAGTGAGAGGCCCACGTACCGCAAAAAAAACCCAAAAAAACCAGCAAGCCTTTTTCTGCGCCCCACGGAGGGGCTAACACCTGCATTCTTGCAGTTCATGCGGGAGATGGCGGGGGCCTGGCAGATGACAGTGGAGCAGAAGTTCGGCCTGTTTTCTGCGGAGATAAAGGAAGCAGACCCCTTGGCTGCGTCGGAAGCCAGTCAGCCCAAACCCTGTGCCCCCGAGGTGACCCCTCACTGCATCTGGATCGATGTACGTGCCCCCGTCTCCCCTGTGCTCCACCCACTCTTCCCCGGGGTCGGGACTCCAGGTTGAAGACTGCCCCACCTCGGGGGTAGCTGGCCCATCTCGCTCCCCACGCCCCGCTGGTCTTGTCCCTTTGCCCCGCAGACCCCACCTGCCCTCCTGTGGGCCTGAGCCCCTCCTTGGCAGGCAGTGGTGGCTCGAGGGTGGGCGGCCACCTGGCCCTGCCAGCAACATGGCCCCACCAGCAGCGTATCCCTTTCCATCCAGTTCCTGGTGCAGCGGTTCGAGATTGCCAAGTACTGCAGCTCTGACCAGGTGGAGATCTTCTCCAGCCTACTGCAGCGGTCCATGTCTCTGAGCATTGGGGGCACTGCGGGGAGCATGAACCGGCATGTGGCGGCCATCGGGCCCCGCTTCAAGTAAGAGCTCACCTCAGGGCCTGCTCCCCCGGGTTTCCTGTGGTTGGTCACTTGTTCACCAGAAACTGACCGAGTCCCCAGCACATGCAGGGCCCCTGGGAAAGGCATCCGCACATGATGGCCGAGGCCACCATGCCCTCTCGGGGCTGAGGACATGGGGCAGCGTGCTGTCCACAGCAGGGAAGTGTGCAGGAGGTGCTTCATGTGGGGACCCGACCAGCCAAACACTGGGGGTGAGCAGCAGCAAAAGGATTCTGGTGACACACTGGAGAGGGAAAAACGGCCAGCTGTGTGGCAGAGCCTGGTGTGACAGCTCAGGCCCATTACCCTCTGAGGCCGATTGTGCCAACTGCACACCAAGCCCTGTGCAAAACCAGCAACACCGGGGGAGGGCATACACCCCAATAGGCAGCATGTGGCCCAGTGGGCCTCAAACCAGGTGCGGTGGTCAGGGGCGCTGTGTACACAGCAGGAGGGCCTGGCCTGGCATGGGGAGGGCTCTTGACTGGGCCTGCAGATACCTGGGGGGTCAGATGGAAGGAGGGTGAGGGGCCCCTGCAGGTGGGCACCACTCCCTCTACCTGTTCCCCTCCCTGAGCTCTTGACTCATGTTCCTGAAGCCCACTGGGCATGCCCTCGGGCCGTGCTTCTCAAACCAGTACCCAAGGGCTAGTTTTCTTTTTCCCTAATTTTCAGTCTGTTGTGGACCTATACTTTTACAAATTGCAATGAGAATGGGTTAGTAGGAGAGGATCCATGCTGGACCGTCCCAGCCATGGGAAGTGGCCATGGAGATGAGCAGGAGGGCTGCCCATTCCTGACCAGCGCGTCTGCAGATGCCTGCAGGGCAGCCCTGATCTTGCAGAATCCAAGCAGATTGTTCTTAGAACCTGAGTTCTACCTTCGTAGTCCCCGTAGGTGATGGTACCTCAGGGAGTGGTTTGCAGTTTGTGGGACCAAAGCTTCTGGACGAGGGGCAGAGTCACACACACGTTGTTTTCCCCCCAACAAAAGTGAAGGTTTAAAAATCCTTTCGTAAGGCATCAGGGTACAGTAATCCGAGACAGGTGACCACCTGCCCGATCCACAGCCCTGGCGGGAGGGCTCTGCCGCCTGCAGGTGGGCCCTGAGCTCAGGGAGAGGTTTGCAGGAGGCGCCACTCGCTGATCGGGGCCCTCTTGCAGGCTGCTGACCCTCGGCCTGACCCTCCTGCACGCGGACGTGCTTCCCAATGCGACCATCCGCAACGTGCTCCGCGAGAAGATCTACTCCACTGCCTTCGACTACTTCAGGTGCTGCCCCCACCCCACCCCCAGCCCCCAGGCCTGGGTCACTCGGCCTGCTGGGTGCCGACCCCTGGCTTAGTGGCCCGACTTCTCATTAGGAGGCTGCGCGCCCCACCTTGCCGCGCTTCCTGACTCCTAGACCCTGGCACTCACCCTCGTCCCTGGCTGTTTGCAGTTGTCCCCCAAAGTTCCCTACGCAGGGAGAGAAGAGGCTGCGTGAGGACATAAGCATAATGATTAAGTTCTGGACCGCCATGTTCTCAGATAAGAAGTACCTGACCGCCAGCCAGCTCGTTCCCCCAGGTGAGCCCCAGCCTCAGCTGTGCTGCATGGTCACCAGAGGCCCATGCCTGCCCGGTCACCTCTTCTCTGGCCGCTGCTGGGGAGCAGGAAGGAGGGCAGGGTCTCCAAGCAGACAGGCAGACACCCCCTGGTGTAACTTCCCAGCGCGGGGCCGTTCTCAGGGGCTCCCTGCATGCCCGACAGTCTGTATTGGACTATAGCCTATGTGCTGGGAGGGATAGGGCACGGTCCATTGTCACCTGGTGGGGCCAGTCTTATCGGCAGGTGACTCCAACATGGGGGGTCGTGGGAACGTCCCCTGATTCCAGGCACTTGCCCTGCAGCAGTTGGGGACCAGGGGCAGTTTTCTGGAAGAGGTGACGTGTGAGCTGCATCTTGGAGCATGGAGGGTGGACGGGGTCAGGGAAAGGCGCTGAAGTGGGAGCCAGCAGCCGCCCCACAGGAGGAAGCCCTGCTCTTGTTTCTCTGAAGCATGTAGCTGGTCACGCGCCCAGGCTGGGGGAGGCGCGTGTCTCTGCAGGCAGACCCACATGGACAGCCTGGCCGCCACGAAAGGGAAAAGCAGGCACAGTGATTGTAAGCAGCTCTTGGCTCCACTCAGAGCAGGGCAGGCAGCCCTGCCATCTGTCCCCACGGGTCCCCGAGTCATCGCCATGTAGGAGGACACTGGGAGGTCAGTGCCATAATTGATCAAGGCGGCTCCTCGATTTGCTTTGCTTTGGGCTCAGGGGAACATAACACACTTTAGAAAACTTCCATCTGCAGTGGTTCATGAGGAACTTTGCAGACGCCTGGTTCGTCCAGGGAAGCCGTCACCGGCCGTCTCCCCCACCTGCTCCCCCACAGCTGCTTTGTCTGTGGTGAAGGTCCAGACACCTCTTTTTAGAATGCTGTGTCTGCCCACAGATAACCAGGACACCCGGAGCAATCTGGACATAGCGGTTGGCTCGCGCCAGCAGGCTACACAGGGCTGGATCAACACCTACCCGCTGTCTAGCGGCATGTCCACCATCTCCAAGAAGTCAGGTCGGTGGGGCTTTGCTGCCGGGTCCCTTGGGTCCTCAGGGTCATAGAGCAGCTCCAAGGGACACTCTGTGCCCTCCCCACCCCCATCCCCAGGCATGTCCAAGAAGACCAACCGGGGCTCCCAGCTGCACAAGTACTACATGAAGCGCCGGACGCTGCTGCTGTCCCTGCTGGTGAGGCCCGTGCGCCATGCCTGCAGCACTGGGGTGGGGGAGGGGCGCGGCCATGCAGAGGCACATCTGTGTCTGTGTCCCTCACCAGGCCACTGAGATCGAGCGTCTCATCACGTGGTACAACCCACTGTCAGCCCCAGAGCTAGAGCTGGACCAGGCTGGAGAGAGCAGCGTGGCCAACTGGAGGTCCAAGTACATCAGCCTGAGCGAGAAGCAGTGGAAGGACAATGTGAACCTCGCCTGGAACATCTCTCCTCATCTGGCCGTGCAACTGCCAGCCAGGTGGGCTGCCTGAGAGGCCGTGCCGGAGGTCCAGCACAAGGCACCTGGCGGGGGGAGGGCACGTGTCACAGCCAAGGACTGTAAGGGAAGAGCCATCGTAGCCCTAGATGCTCCCCAGTCCTGTACAGTGGTAGGGTCTGTCCTGCCAGGGGCCCAGCACCCCGGAGCCCGAGGAGATAACAGGGCACCCCAGGGCCTCACCTTGTTTGATGAGGAAAGGAAACACCTGTGGTTACTCTGGGAGGTAGGCCTGGGTGGTCTGGGTTGGTTCCTGGGTGGCATCTTCAGGCAGCAGGCTACTCAGAGGGGCGGCTGGCAACCGAGTGTCCTGTGAGCTGTCCTGAGGCAGCTCTTAACAGGGACAGGACTCAGGCTGGTAGGTGCTGAGAGGGGCTTCCCAGGCCCCCTGTGCTGAATCCCAGTAGACTCCATGTGCCTGCGTGCAGGGTGGGCCTTTCTTCCCCGGAGCCCATGGTGCATACTTACTGCTTCCTTCTTCGGGTCCTAAGTCCTCCTCAGGACAGGATCGCAGCCTGACGGTATTTAGGCAGCAGCTGCCTGCCTTAGCCTTGGGCGGTCACACCTGAACACTTTGCACCCACCCTCCCACCTGCTAGCGTGCCTTCTGGCCCACGGGTGCCACAACGTGGATGGGTGCTTTGGGGGCCAGGCCAAGGGAGGTGTCCTTGGAAGGATCATTCCTGCTCCAAGGAGTTCTGCCCTTGGGTCACAGCCGGTCACAGTAAACACCATGTCAGTAGCCACAGTGCTCAGATGTCACTGGGTGTTGGTCCACATCACTTAGTCCAGGGCTCCCCCAGCCCCTGTCTTCAATGTCTGCCACCCACACCCTCTTTGCCTGCAGGTTCAAAAACACAGAAGCTATCGGCAATGAGGTGACCCGTCTGGTTCGCTTGGACCCAGGAGCCGTTAGTGACATCCCCGAAGCCATCAAGGTAGCATGGCGGGTAGCGTGCCAAGACTTGGTCCTAAGTGCACAGAAACAAAACTGCCTCCAGGGATGCCTGGAAGCGAGGAACACAACCAAAACCCACTGACCTCAGTGGTACCATGATTTTTCTGATCTTTTGTGTTATCTACTCTTTGGATGAAACATTTACTGTGTTTACAGTAGAAAAACGTTGAGTGTATTTCACCCTGGTTGAAGTTGTGCTGTTGTATGTAATGTGTCAGAAGCTGTTATAAATGCCTTGCAGTTTTCACTCCTTGGGGCCATCCCTGTGACTCCCTTCTTCCTCCCCAGTTCCTGGTCACCTGGCACACCATCGACGCCGATGCCCCCGAGCTCAGCCATGTGCTGTGCTGGGCACCCGCAGACCCACCCACAGGCCTGTCCTACTTCTCCAGCATGTACCCGCCGCACCCACTCACGGCGCAGTACGGGGTCAAAGTCCTACGGTCCTTCCCGCCGGTGAGCCCATCTGCTGGGTCGACCTCGGGGGGCTGCCCAGCCCCACGGGGGGACAGAGGGCAGGCCTGATTGAGGGTGAGGACGTGTCCTGGGGGTGGAGTGACAGCAGGGCCAGTCCAGGTGGGGTGGGGCCCTGGGACCCCTGTCCTGCCTGGTGCTCTCACCCCTTCCTGAGTCATGACTGCTCCTCCCCCACCACACAGGATGCGATCCTGTTCTACATCCCCCAGATTGTGCAGGCCCTCAGGTATGACAAGGTAAGGCATGCAGCACAGGCCGACCAGCCTGGAGGGCCGGGCGGGCAGCGGGACGGAGCCCAGGAGCAGGGCCACTGAGCTGGGACCTGGGCCCGAGGTCTCTCACCCCCATGTGGTCATCCAGCACCCGAGGCCCAGTCCTGCTGTGCTGGGTGAACAGGTTCTGGAAACATTGCCGGCTGCTTCTTCAGGGTGGGTGACCTGGCCTGGGACCCATACCTGCTGGATGGGGGTCTCAGCAGGTCCCCTAGCTCCCAAATCCAGCTCCCCGTCTCCTGGGGGGAGTGGCCAAGGGGTTGGAGGAGACAGCATGTGTATTAGTGAGCTCAGGCCACCCTGGCAAAGTACACAGACTCGGGGCTTAAACTACAGGGAGCTCGTTCCACACAGTCTGGAGGCTGGACATCTGAGATCCAGGTGTCAGCAGGGCTGGTTTGCCCAAGGCCCTCTCCTTGCCGTGTAGACGGCGGCTTCTCCCTGTATCCCCACATGGCTGTCCATTTGTCTGTGTCCTAATCTCTTCTTATAAGGATACAAGTCAGATCGGATCAGGGCCCCCTACTGATCTCATGTAACTTCATCAGTTCTTTAAAGGCCTATATCCAAATACAGTCACATTCTGTGGGGGGGGGGGGGGGGCTTCAAAAAATGAAGGGGGGGGGGGGGGTGGATAATTCAGCCTTAACAGTGTACATGCACATAGGGGCCTGGCAAAGGGCCTGGCCAGAAAACACCCACGGGGTGACCACAGCCCGGAGCCCTCACCACCCGCGCTTCATCACAGTGCCACACCCAAGCCTGCGTCTGAGGGCAGCAGCGTCTACCCCTCCTGCTCCTGCCCATACACCCCCCTGCCCTGGGCCCACAGGGCCCCAGAACACCCCATGCCCTGGCCAAGCCTGGAGACCCTGCACTGGAGGTTGCACATTCATGGTTCATCTTTAGATCTAGTTGCTGGGTTAGAATTGGGTTATTTGAAGTTTGACCTGTTTGGGAAGCCCACCCACCCAAGTTGAGGACATCTGTCCAAGGAATACTTTACCAGATGGGCCGCAAATGACTGTGGGGAGGGAGAGGCTGCACCCCAGGAGTCTTCCAGAAAGGCCAGCTGCCTTTGTAACCTAGAACATGGGAATTCAGCCTGAGCTGGGAGTGACGCAGGGTTTTCTGGGACCCGTCCGTCACTGGGCAGCGTCTTCTAGACAGCAGTCCACAGGGGCGCATTTGAAACCCGCCTGCCCACGCGTCATGCTTGACGACAGCAGAAGCTGGTTAGAGTCCAGGGCTTAGAGTCCAGAGGAGGGAACAGAGGAGACAAAAGCTGGTGCATGCCTGCATAGACAAAGACCCCGGCGGCTGGCCAGCCAGCTGGACTCGGGCTCAACTCCGCCACGCAGGAGAGGTGCTCACAGCCGGCACCGCTCGACCACGCTTCTTTCTGGGTCTGCCAAGTGTGGAGTCGTTGCTGCTTGGGTGAGAGTGGCCTCTCTTGGTGGAGTGTGGCCAGCCTGGGCTGACCTTGCTTTCCTACAGATGGGCTATGTGCGGGAGTATATTCTGTGGGCGGCATCCAAGTCCCAGCTCCTGGCACACCAATTCATCTGGAACATGAAGACGAACATCTATGTGGATGAAGAGGGGCACCAGAAAGACCGTGAGTGCCTGTCCCTCGGACCCCACCCCGTCCTCACTACCTGCCCAGGGTCATCATTCCTCCACTCCCACCTCTGACCCCTGCCTGGCCCCCAAGACCCTGTGGCTCCATCTGCAGCTCCACGGGCAGCGCTTCCCAACCCAGGTCATCTCAGGACCCTCACACCCTTGAAAACTACAGACCCTCAAAGAGCTTGGGTTTATGTGGCCTTGGGCCATCCATGCTCACCAACATTAGAAATTAAAAATAGAGGGCTTCCCTGGTGGCGCAGTGGTTAAGAATCTGCCTGCCAATGCAGGGGACAAGGGTTTGAGCCCTGGTCTGGGAAGATCCCACATGCTGCAGAGCAACTAAACCCGTGCGCCACAACTACTGAGCCTGTGCTCTAGAGCCCGCGAGCCACAACTACTGAGCCAGTGTGCCACAACTACTGAAGCCCGCGCGCCTAGAGCCCATACTCCGCAACAAGAGAAGCCACCGCAGTGAGAAGCCCGCGCACCGCAACGAAGAGTAGCCCCCGCTCGTCGCAACCAGAGAAAGCCTGCGTGCAGCAACAAAGCCCCAAAGCAGCCAAAATTAAAAATAAAAAAAAATAAAAAAATAGAGACCCATCTCACATAAACATAACTTTTAAAGAAGTGAGCGAGAAGAGTAGCATTGTTTAACACGTTTACAGGCCCCTTTAGTGCCTGTGGGAGATGAGGTCATCAGTGCGGTGCGAGAGCCCCTCACTCTGCCTCTGCATTTCATGTCAGAATATGCTGTTTGGGCTGAAGTGGCTGCAGGAGATTGGGCCTTGCTGACCCATAGTTGGAAACGGAGGAGTGTCTTGTGTTCAGGCCCCCATGGGTGCTCCCCGCCAATGCTACCAAGCTTGGCGGGACGGTTTCTCAGGGGTTCAGTGCAGTGAGGAGTCTGAACCGTGTTATGAGCCTCGCTCTCTGTTCATCCAGCCCCTGCTTGCCCTGCACTCGCCCCTCGCAGGACCTGTAACACCCGCTGTGGTCACACCCAACGTGCAGGGCAGGGTCTCCAGTGCTGACGCATTTCGTGACACAGTATTTAAAGATCCTGTGTGTGGAGCCCCAGCTGCCTCACAGGACAGAAACGTTTCTGAGTGCTGGGAAACTGTCAGGCTTTTTTGTCAAGTTTAACAAAGTTTTGTAGTTGTTTTCCTTAAATGGCAGATTCATTTTATTGATTTTCAAGAAAATATCTGCCATAAGTCTACGTCTGAGTGACTTTACCTTATCTCTTAGTCACTCCTTCAAGTAAAAATGACGGTCCCTGGAAGAGGGAACAGTCAGATGCAGGTACTCCCCTGAGACCACCACACGCTTCAGGTGCGGCCCCCGTGAGCATCCGTGATCCTGGGGCCCTCCACTCGCCACAGCCTAACGGGCATCAGCACCCTGAGGAGGGCAGACCTCCTCTGGGTGGGGTCTGGAGAGAGGGTCCCTGGGACTGTAGGCTCACCCTCGGTTTCTCTGCAGCTGACATTGGCGACCTCCTGGAACAGCTGGTGGAAGAGATCACAAGCTCCTTGTCTGGCCCGGCCAAGGACTTCTACCAGCGTGAATTCGACTTCTTCAACAAAATCACTAACGTGTCAGCCATCATCAAGTAAGTGGCATCTTCTCCAGGCCCCACTTGTGGGAGCTGCCCAAGGAGCTTTGTAGACTCCTGACGTCCCCCGCTAAGGAACAGCCAGATGGGGAGTTTGCTTCCACCGTCCAGGGCCCCCGTGGGCATAGCAGATGCACAGAAAACAACATCTCAGGTTCACTTTGGGTCTTGCCCAAGCCTGAGGACATCTGCTCTCCAGGTTCTGATGGTCCCCGTGGTGTTAGGGAAACCAGACTCCTTTGCAGCCCCGAGGTCCTTTCTTGATTGACGTCCTGGGCCCTCATTCACGTGGAGCAGACGCCAACCTTGGACGTCTTGGCCACCAATTTGTGCAGGATGGGGCCCCGGGGTTGCGGATGCTGGCCGAGCGCCTGGGGAGGCAGCAGGGGAGCCCTAGTGCTGTTCCTCCAGGCGCCTAGTCGCCACACTGTCCCCAGTGCTCAGGCTCCCCCGCTACCCCATCACTGCGGGCCATGTGTCCCATGGTCCTCTCCTGACCAGTTCTAAGCAGAGCGGCAACGTGGCTGCAGAGATGGAGGGTCAGGGTGGACTCCCTGGGCCTCTGCCACGTGAGAGGCGTGATTCCATTTCACTCGCCTTGTCGTGGGGCGCAGAGGTCTGAGGGTCTGCCCGACGCCACACTGCCAGTAAACCATGTAGCCCGCAGCCTGACCCCCACAGCATTGCACACCCCCTTCCCCTGCCCCAGGTGGCAGAGTGCAGGGCTAGGGCCCTCGGACAGGAGGGCCTGTCTGTGCCCCGAAGCCACAGACACCAGCGTCTGTGTCTTGTTCTCCAGGCCCTACCCTAAAGGTGACGAGAGGAAGAGGGCTTGTCTGTCGGCTCTGTCTGAAGTGAAGGTGCAGCCTGGTGAGCAGTGCTCGAGGCCAGTGGGACGGGGGTCTGGGGGACCCTGGGTGCCCGGCACCCCTCTCCAGAACCTGCCCCTGCCAGTGGTCACTCTTGGTTCTCCTAGCTACAGCTGTTTTCTGAAGGCCGAGGCCCTGTCCTTGGCAGCTGTGGTTCTAGAAGTTTCCTGAGCTCCAGTGTAACAGAAGTAACGCAGGCCACACAGTGGGCTTAGGGAGGAGCGGGGGTGTCCCAGGTGTGCTAGGGCTTGTGGGATGAGGGGGCCCATGCCCCCCTCCCTGGTGCTCTTGCCACGTGGTCAGATCCGTGTCTTTTCAAGACAAGATGGGAACCCAGACGTCACCGCACAGCTCTCCGTTCTTAAGTCTTACACATTCGTTCTTCAAAACCCTGGCCTTGCACACTTGCCCACTGCCCGCCTCAGTGGTGGGCACCAGTGCAGGGCCCTGGGTGGGCCTCTCCTGACTGTGCTGAGCCCTGCCCAGCCACGCCCCAGAGAACACTCAGCCTCCCAGAGGACACCATGCTGCTGGGTCGTGTCCCCGAGGCACTGCGGAGCCAGCTGGGCTCTAGAGCAGAGTGGAGCTCGGGCCGTTTGAGGGAGGCTGGGCTGGCGAGGGAAGGAGGGTGGATGAGGTGGGGGCCTGCATGCTCCCCAGGGGCCCAGTCCCTCCCACCAGGACCCCGCCTCAAGCACCCCCACCTCCGGGGGCTCGGGGAACTGTGGTCCCTGACCAGGAAGGGTCTTCTCTCGACCTGCGCTGACAGGGTCGAGCTGGGGGTGTCAGGTGGGTGGGTTCTGGGGCTCCTGTGTCCTGTGGCATTGGCGGCCAGTGGCTTGAGAAGCTGAGGGTTTAGGGTGTCCTCTTGGAGAAGCGTCTGCGGGAGGTGGTTGCCCCATGTGGAATGTCAGGATGGGCCCAGGGAAACAGCACAGAGTCAGGGAAGACAGCCTTACCGGCCTCGGAACAAGGAGTCGGCGGTGCCGCAGGCAAGGCCCTTGAGGCCTCAGCACAGCCCCGTCTGCTGGGAAAGCCTCATCCTGGTCGGGCCCTGGGATGTCCCTTCTGTCCCTCATAGGCTGCTACCTGCCCAGCAACCCCGAGGCCATCGTGCTGGACATCGACTACAAGTCCGGGACGCCCATGCAGAGGTGAGGCACCCCCCGCAAACTCCCCCTCACGGGCTCCCATTCCCTGTCACTTGCGCCCCATTCTGTTTTGTTTTCCAGCGCTGCAAAGGCCCCATATCTGGCTAAGTTCAAGGTGAAACGATGCGGAGTTAGTGAACTTGAGAAGGAAGGTCAGTGGGGCACGTCCGATGTAGTTTGGGGTCCCCATGAACGGTGACAGCCTCCGGCCAGTCAGTCTGGGCCCTTGTCTGGGGGTGGCAGGCACGTGTGCAGTGACAGAGGCCCCAGGGAGGACTGGTCGGCTTGGCTGCCGTGAGAGTGACCGCAGGCTGGCAGCCTCCACAGCAGGAGTCGATTCTCTCCGTCTGGAGGCCGAGGTGTCAGCAGGGCCCTGCTCCCTCCTGAAGTGCTGTGAAGGATCCTTCCGGCCTCTTCCCGGGACAGGGCATGGTTGTTCTTCAGCTGTGGCTGCCACATACATCACACTCTGCAGTGCTGGGGGGGCATGAATGTTGGGAGCACAGCAGCACAAGGGTGTGGCCCTGGGTCCTTGCTCCTCAGCTGTTCTTAGGAAGAGACCCTGGCCCCATGGCCCCACCCACTGACCCCTGGTGTCTGCTGGGCCTCGTTGGCCTCTTTAGGGTTTTGCAGAGATGATCCCTAAGGGTCTGTGTTGCTTCAGGCACATGATCAGGGCTCGCCCCCAGCATCCTCAGAGGGCCTCTCTGCCCGCCGCTGACAGGCACCCTCTCCCTGTGCAGGTCTGCGGTGCTGCTCAGACTCCGAGGATGAGGGCAGCACGCAGGAGGCCGATGGCCAGAAAATCTCCTGGCAAGCAGCCATCTTCAAAGTGGGAGATGACTGCCGTCAGGTAGTGGGCTGGGCAGGCAGGGCAGGGCCGGAGGTGTGCGGGGCTGGGGCAGGCCCGCCTCTCTCCAAGGCTCCAGGCACACTTCTCAGCATCACACAGAAATAGGAATCCTTGGTTCCCCATTTGGTTCTGTTGCCTTGGAGTACATCAGGGCTTTCTGCTAAACCCGGAGGCCTCTCCAGTGGTCCCCCTCCCGCTGTACACCCTGGCTGCTCAGGGAGAACTGCCCCGGGGGAATGGGTCCCCCTTACTCACACCCACCGCCAGGCAGTGCATCCTCGCAGTCTGCCCAGGGAGCAGTGGGCAGTGAGGCTCACCGGGGCCTCCCTCCCTCCTCCCCCTCCCCCTCACTGGGCAGGGCCGCAGGCACCTGGAGCCAGCAGCCCACTACGACCCTGAGTCTCTCCTGGTTCCCAGGACATGCTGGCCCTGCAGATCATCGACCTCTTCAAAAACATCTTCCAGCTGGTTGGCCTGGATCTCTTCGTCTTTCCGTACCGGGTGGTGGCCACCGCCCCTGGTGTAAGTTTCCCAAGCAGTTGCTTGGGCGCTGCCCCTGTCCTTCGCCCTGTGGTGTGCCCGCAGCCTGAGCCTCGGCCTTTCCTCCCTAGTGCGGGGTGATCGAGTGCATCCCTGACTGTACCTCTCGGGACCAGCTGGGCCGCCAGACCGACTTTGGCATGTACGACTATTTCACACGCCAGTACGGGGATGAGTCCACGCTGGCCTTCCAGCAGGTGGGCAGCAGCGCGGCCCCACTGCCCGCCAGCCCCAGCTCCTGCATTGGTCAGCACCCTGTTTTCCAAGTCCTCGTATGTCTGGGGGTAAAACCAGGGCATCTGTAACCTTCCTTGGGATGAAAGGCATGCCTCGAGAGGGGCTCCCCAGGAGAAAGCTGACAGGAGTTGAAGGGGGGAAGGGGCCACAGCCCTGCACCTCAGATGCACCCACTTGTCACTCCGACTACCAAGGTCTGGCTTGCTGATCTAGGTGCAGGCCCAGGGGTTCCAGGGTGCCCACAGGCCCAAGAAGGCACAGCTCCAGGGCACCCTGAGCATGCTGTCTCTGCACAGGCACGCTATAACTTCATCCGCAGCATGGCTGCCTACAGCCTCCTGCTGTTCCTGCTGCAGATCAAGGACCGGCACAACGGCAACATCATGCTGGACAAGAAGGGCCACATCATCCACATCGGTGGGTGGGCATCCTGCCGCGGGGGCACCGGGGCAGGGGCTCTGGGGGTTGGGGAGCTGGGCTTCCTTTCCAGCCGCTGCTCCCCAGTGTCCCCAGGAAACAGCGGCTACAGGGCATACACCCAGCTTTGCCCTGCAGCTGATCCCAGCACGATGGCTCTTTGGGATATTGCAGACTTTGGCTTCATGTTTGAAAGCTCCCCGGGTGGCAACCTCGGCTGGGAACCAGACATCAAGCTGACGGACGAGATGGTGATGATCATGGGGGGCAAGATGGAGGCCACCCCCTTCAAGTGGTTCATGGAGATGTGTGTCCGCGGCTACCTGGCCGTGCGGTGAGCCCCGCGGGTGGGGTGGGGGGCAGGGAGGGGCTTCCATACTGGGCCCGTTCATCCAGCAAGCCCCGCCCACTCCTCAAAGTTCTCCTCGGGTCATCTCAGGCCTTTGGTGGACACAGAACTGGGGTTGGGGCAGGGGGATGCACGGGAGGCCCCCTGAGGCCTTGCCTTCCTGTCACGTCTCTGCCACCTGTGCCAGCAGCATCTTGCTCCAGGCATCAGTGACCTGCCACATTCTGCATCTCCCAGGCTTGGCCTCGCCTGCCGACGCCTTGGGGCCCCTCTGAGCACCCCACCTGCCCTTCCTCCCTAGCCTGAGCCCCTGCACCCCCAGGCTGCGTGCCGGGGACTCAGGTCCTGGCTTCCAAGTGTCATGTGGCTGACGCCACAGAGCAGTGTGGGGACACCTGGACTCCAACCCGAGTCTGCTGAAGCCTGCATGGCGCGTACGCAGTTCCCTTCAAGAAGGGAGGATCCCTTCCTTAGCCAGGCACAGAACCATGGCAGGGGCCGAGAGCAGGCCCTGGGCAGGGGCTGCATGTTGACCACAGGCAGGGCCCCCACCCAGGCTGGCCTCTGTCCACCTCCTTCCCTGCCTCTCCCCAGGCCCTACATGGACGCCGTCGTCTCTCTGGTCACTCTCATGCTGGACACGGGCCTTCCCTGCTTCCGCGGCCAGACAATCAAGCTCTTGAAGTAGGTCCGGCAGGCAGGCCACTTGGGGGCGGCCGTCCCCTGAGATGGGAGCCCTTCGACTGCTGGTAATGGGGACTGTTATCGAGGCCAAGTGCTCCCCCTTGGACGCCCAGACAGACGGGGTCCTGGGTGAGGAGCTGTCCCCAGACCTTCCGTGTGTGAGGTGCCTTGACTTAGGCGGAGGATGTACCCTGCAGCCCTTCGTCCCTCAAGGGTGTGTCTGCGCCAAGCCCCGGGGCTGCAGTGGCTCAGCCCCCTGCCAGTCCTACCCTGGCTGCAGGCCGCTGGGCCCAGGAGGTTCTAGGAAGGGGCCCAAGCCCTCCAGGCCAGCTGGGAACCGTGTCCCCACAGGAGGCCAGGCCACTAAGTGCAGCCCACCGGCCAGACCACGTCCCTGCAGGGAGGGCAGCCTGGAGCCCTGGGGGCAGCAGCCCTGATACGGCCCTTCCCCCCACCAGGCACAGGTTCAGCCCCAACATGACAGAGCGAGAGGCCGCAAATTTCATTCTAAAGGTCATTCAGAGCTGCTTCCTCAGCAACAGGCAAGTCACCCTGTCCTGCCCCACCCATGCACCCGTGTCACCTACCCAGTGTTCAGTGGGCACCTGTGCAGGCCCCCACCTGGGCCAGGTGACAGGATGCACTGCCCCGAGACGCCCAGCCCAGCGGGGCAGGAAGTGAGTTCTGAGAGGCTTCAACCCCTTCAGCTGCTGTGGGGGCCGTGACAGGAGGGGCCTGGTGGGGGAACTGGGGCCACTAGAAGTGGTGGGGCCAGGCCTCAGTGACAGGCCTGGGAACAGGCTCCCAGGGGCTGTGACAGTCGAAGGTGGCCTTGAGGTTTATAGGCTCAACAACAGGGTGAGCGAGGGGAGTCCAGGCCCCAGGAGGTGCAGAGGCCCCAGGTCCACACCCTCGGGACAGAGAACTGGCTCCGGTGGACCCGCCGAGGTCCAGTGGCACAGGAGCGCCACTTGGTTTTGCTGACTGGGGAGCAGAGAAGTGGGGTGGCTCAGGGCAGCAGGAGGGGTTTGGAGGGCAGCATGAGGCAGGCTCTCCTGATGGTGATGTGAGGCAGGGCGGAGGGGGAGTGCACAGACCCCTTCCAGCCACATGCGAGGCCCCAAGGCTGGGAGTCAACTCCTACAGACGCACCCCCGGGCCACATCCCGGGCCCCAGGACTGCGGGCAGGCGTCTGGCTGAGGAAGGGCATCCTCTTGAGCCCACTTTGGGGCCCATGAGCAAGGAGGAGACGGGGCATAACAGGGAGGCTGTGGCCATGGGTGAGGGAGCAAGCGTCCCAGGGAGAGAGGGGCTGGTGGGCAGACAAAAAGTCTGCGATCGGGCACTCGACCTCCAGGGGTGTAGCAGGGTGGCTCAGGGGGTCAGGTCCCCAGACCAGCACAGGCCCCTCACAATCCCCTCTGCTCTCTGCTCCCAGGAGCCGGACCTATGACATGATCCAGTACTATCAGAACGACATCCCCTACTGAGGGGCAGAGTGCCGCAATCACTGCTTGCTGCTGCGCACGGCCTGCCACCTCATCCGGCGGACAGATGGGCCGAGATGCCCCTGCAGAGCCCGGCAACCCGCTGCCTCCCGAGGTGTCGCCTACGTGGCCCGTGTGGCTGGAATGACAATCAGAGCCAGTCTTTGCGCAGGTGTGAGCTGTGCTTACACTGGACACATTCCCTACCTGTCTTGTTCTCAGAGGTACATGAAGTATTTTCTTGTGTATAAAAAATGGAAAAATTATATTCAACCTAAGATTCAACCAACGTGAACAAAATAAAAACAAAAAAACTGCGTTGAAACCAATCCAGTACTAAGTGCACATTCAGCTAGGGGTGGGGGGCGCCCGCCCAGGAGCCTCGCAGCCAAGAGGGGCCATCCCCGGTGCCCCGGCTGTGAGCTTCACAAAGACGACTCACCACAGCACAGATGTACCAAAAATAGCACTGTATTTTCCCTGATGGCTCTCAGGGCTCCCGCAGAGGCCACCCGGCCGCCCCATTCTCATCTCTCCTCCGTAGGCGTTGCTCTGCATCCTGCCTCTGCTCCGGTCCTTCCCGGTGTCCCTCTCGACCACCTTCAGGTCCTCTACTCCAGGACACCACCGTCCTCATGCACCAACCTCCCCGCAGTGTCCATCCCCACCCACGTGACCCTCCAAAGACCCAAAACTAAAAAAACGATGACAAAATATCTAGAAATAAGTCACACAAAAGATTGGTTAAAAAGCAGGGAAGGACTTCCCTGGTGTCTCAGCGGTTAAGAATCTGCCTGCCAATGCAGGGGACATGGGTTCAAGCCCTGGTCTGGGAAGATCCCACATGCCGCGGAGCAACTAAGCCCGTGTGCCACAACTGCTGAGCCTGTGCTCTAGAGCCCGCAAGCCACAGCAGCTGAGCCCACGTGCCACAAGTACAGAAGCCCGTGCGCCTAGAGCCCGTGCTTCACAACAAGAGAAGCCACTGCAATGCCAAGCCTGCGCACTGCAACAGAGTAGCCCCTGCTCGCCACAACTAGAGAAAGCTCGCACACAGCATCGAAGACCCAACACAGCCAAAAATAATTAATTTTAAAAAGTAATTTTTTAAAAAAAAGGTAAGATACAGGTGAAGAGACAACCAATCAATGAAAGGCAGAACAATGAAATTACCAAAAATGAGGCATAAAGAAAAGGAGAGTTGAATGAGACGCTCCAGTCACCCACAACAGGATTCCAGAGTTGGTGAAAAACACCCAGCTGCAGGAAGCACAATATAAATAAATATAAAGAAGCAGCCAATATGTAAGTTAAAAAAACTTTTTAAAATATTAAATTAATCCAAAAGAAGGCAGGAAAGGAAAAAGAAAGATGGGACAAAAAGTTTCGCAATAGCAGACGACAGTCCCACTGCATCATTAATTCTGTTAGGTATGGACAACTAAGCACTCCAGTCAGGAGGCAGGAATTATAAACATGGATAAAAATGAGACCCAATTATATGCTGATGACAAGCAGTGCACTTTATAGTCATGGACCTGACGCAGAAGTAGAGGAAATAGATTCACCATCATTGTGTGTACGTGTGTTTCCGAAGCAAAATTTGACAGAATTCAGGGGAGAAATAAACTAGTAGAGTTGGAGATTTCAACATCCTTCTCTGCACAAGTGATAGAACACAGGATGCCGTCACACATGTAGCCCTGATGGCGATTATGAAATGCAGTCCGGGGCTTCCCTGGTGGCGCAGTGGTTGAGAATCTGCCTGCTAATGCAGGGGACACAGGTTCGAGCCCTGGTCTGGGAGGATCCCACATGCCGCGGAGCAACTAGGCCCGTGAGCCACAACTACTGAGCCTGCGCGTCTGGAGCCTGTGCTACACAACAAGAGAGGCTGCAATAGTGAGAGGCCCGCGCACCACGATGAAGAGTAGCCTCCACTTGCCACAACTAGAGAAAGCCCTCGCACGGAAACGAAGACCCAACACAGCAAAAATTAATTAATGAAATGCAGTCTGTCAGCAGCAGCACCCCATCCGTACCTGTTCACCACGTCAGGCTGATCCCACGGAATTGTTAGGAATCAATAAGATATCTGGAAGAACGCTAAATACTTAGATATTGAAAGAGTGGAGCTGAAACACCAGACAAAATACACGTAAGAGCCAAGGGGATGATCCGAGTTAAATGCTTTAAGGTCGGGTTTGGGGAGGTGGGTAGAGGTGAGCCCGTTCAAGTAGAAAGGAAACCAGAATATCGGGTGTGACTTCCAGAAAGATCAAACAGAAGACCAGGAAGAGGGGGGAGCATAGGAAGTGCAGGACAAACACACTATAAAATGTAGAAACACACGCGAACACAGTAGAACTGATTTGAAACCACAATACTTAGAAAGAAAGCCTGTCAAACGGGCTTTAAAATGAAAGTCAATTGAATGGCACGTCCAAGACTCCGGCAATATGGCAAATTATACATCTTGAAAAGTTAGAAATGCTATTTACAGTACTGGGTAGAAAAATCTAAATCCACAAGCTGACAAGCAAATAGATTTCTTTAGAGACAGAAAACAAAATGAAATTTAAAATCTTAAAACAGTCAAGTTCCTCTTTCGATGACACAGGAGACAAAAGACCAACCCAAGAGCCTGATACCTTTGAGGAGTTTCTGGGGAAGCTTGGTCCACACTCAGGACGGGGTGTACCCAAAACATCACTCCCTTGATGTGAGTGTCTGCGAAAAACTCTGAAATGCTTAAAGGTGATATACTGACAGCTGTCCCCTTAGACAATACCGTGTTTCACCACCTCTGTTCAGCTCTTGGCACTGGGGGCCCTCGCCAGTCTAGTCAGGCCACAAAAGGAAACAGTGTAAGAATCTGGAAAGGAGAAATAAAACTCAGAGATGGCCTTTGTGTACATAAAAATCCAAAATAATCTGAATATAGTCAAGGTTCAGGATACAGGTTAATATACAAAAGTCAATTATGTGTGTGTGTGTGTGTATGTGTGTACATATATCTTACAACAACAAAAATGAAAACACTACCATTTACAATTGCACCCTAAACAAATACCAAGAAAAAAATCTAATGACCTATTCATAAGAAACACTGAAAACTACAAATGTTGAAAGAAACAAGATCTAAACAAATATCCATGGGTTGGAAAACTCAATATTATACAGATGTTTGTTTCTCCCCAAATTGATCTGTAGTTTCACTGCAAATGCCAATCGAAATCCCAGAAAGTTCTGTAGTGGAAATTGGCAAGTCTAAAATCTATATGGGAATGCAAAGGTCAAAATATAGCTATTTGGATCTTGAAGACCCACAAGCTAGATATCAAGAATTATCCTTGGGCTTCCCTGGTGGCACAGTGGTTGAGAGTCCTCCTGCCGATGCAGGGGACACGGGTTTGTGCCCCGGTCTGGGAAGATCCCACATGCCGCGGAGCGGCATCCCTCTCATGAACACAGGCACAAAAATCTTTAACTTTAATTATACTTAAGCCATGGAAGTTAAGACACTGTGGCTTCCTGGTTCAAGGAAAGACAAGTGAACAGTGGAAGAGATGAAGTCCAGGGACGTATACCCACATACATGCAGACACTGCAGAGCAGTCAGGGAAAGATGGTCTTTGCAATAATGGTGCATTAACTGGATAGCAGTATAGAAAATAACTCAACCTCGACTGCCTACCTCACATCAGACATAGAAATTAATTCCAGGTGGACTGGAAAGATGTACGTTAAAGGTAAACTTTAAAGGCTTTTAGAAGAAAATACAGAAGCGTGTCTTGATGACCTCAGAACACACAGATTTCTTAAGCAGAACCAAAACACTAATTTTAAAGGGGAAAAAATTAAATTGGACTCTATGAAAATACATGCCACAAACCTGGGAAGATATTTGCAATTACCTATATCTGTTCAAAGAACTTACAGCCAGAATATATAAAGAACTACTAAAAAATCAGTAAGACACAATTGAATAGAAAAATGGGCAAAAAACCTGAACAAGCATTTCACAAAAGACATTGTCCAAACAGCCAATAAACATAGTAAGAGGTGTTCAACTTCATTAGTCGTCATTGCAAATTAAAACCACAATGTGATACCCACTCACCCCCCTGCCTGTCTGAAACATAAAATGATACATAATGTCAAGCATTGGGGCATGTGGAGCACCTGGAACTCTCAGTTGCTGCTGCTGGGTGTGAAGCATCCAGCAAGGCTGAGCAGCTCAAGCCAGCAGTTCCCCGCCTACACACATACCCAACAGACTTATGAAATCTGGGCAGGAAATAGTGTCCTGAGGTCGCTACTCCTAACAAACAAAACCTGTAAATGACCAAAATGTTCTTGGACAAGAGAGAAATCATTGTGGTTATTCATGCAGAAGAATACAGGGCAATAATGGAAATAAATGAACAACTGCAGCAGGCAGTGTGGATGCTGCTGAGCAAAAGGTACTTGCTGAATGACTCCATCTGAGGTTCCAGAACAGGCACCATTATTTGATGGTGTTAGAAGTCAGGACACAAGTTAGTTTTGAAAGAGGGAGCCACTAGGAAGGCAGGGGGAGAATCAGATGCTGGTAACATTGTTTCTTATTCTATGGAAATTCACTGAGCTACATACACTGATGACTCATACGTTTTTCTGTGTTAAAATTATTGAGGTGTAATTTTTTTCATCATAAAGCCAAGATGGGTCTCAATATGTAAGGAAGCAATAATGCCAGTGTTACACACTATCCTTCAGAAAAGAGAGGAACAAACACTTCCCTATTCATTTTTTTATGAGGGCAGCACAGCCCTGATATTAAAAAGGACCTTCTGGGACCTCCCTGGTGGTCCAGTGGTTGAGAATCTGCCTTCCAACGCAGGGGACGTGGGTTCAATCCCTGGTGGGGGAACTAAGATCCCACATGCCGCAGGGCAACTAAGCCCGCGCGCTCTAGAGCCCAAATGCTGCAGTGAGGAGCCCACACTCCATAATGAAAGATCCTGTGTACCGCAACTAAGACCCAATGCAGCCAAATAGATTAACTAATTAAAAAAAAAAAAAAAGACAAGGACCTTCCAAGAAAATCAGAAGACAGGGCAACATCCCTCTCATGAACACAGGCACAAAAATCTTTAAGTAAATTTTTTTAGTTTAACTAAATATTAGCAAATTGAACACAATGTGTAAAAAAGGACCATCATGACCAAGTGGGCCTTACCCCAGGAAGGCAAGTTTGGCTTAAGACGCAATCAGGGTCATTCATATTAACAGACTAAAGAAGGAAAACCATATGATCAATAGGTGCAGAAAAAGCACTGCACAATATTCAACACCCATTCGTAATAAAAAATCAGCAAACTTGGGAATTCCCTGACCGTCCAGTGGTTAGGACTCGGTGCTTTCACTGTTGTGCCATGGGTTCGATCCCTGGTCGGGGAACTAAGATTCCTCAAGCTGTGGCCAAAAAAAAAAAAAAATCAGCAAACTAGAAATAGGAGAACAGTTCCTCAACCTGATAAAGATCTCTAAGAAAAACATGGTTAACATAGTCATGATGAAATATAAGATCCAGAGCAAGATCAGGGCACTCCTCACCACTTCTAATCAGCTTTGTACCGAGTGTGTGGCCAGCGGTAGACAGTTTGGAAGGAAAAAGAGAAACAGTCCTGCCTCACAGACAATAAGATTGTTTATAAAATCCTGAGGAAGCTACAGAAGAGTTTCAAAGCACTAACAAGGGAGTAGTTCAGCAATACCACAGTTTACAAGGTCCATACACAAAAGTCATTGTATTTCTATATGCCAGCAATAAACAGTTGGAAATTAAAACTAAAAAATCCTATACCATGTATAATAGCACCCCAAACATAAAATCCCTCAGAATAAATGGAAAGACATGAAAGACATTTACACTAAAAAAAACAAAATGCTGAGAAAAATTAAAAATGGAGAGAGATGTCGTCCGAGGTTTGGAAGACATTTCTCTGCAAACTTATCCTAACTTCAGTGTAATCCCAATCAAACAAATGCAAAAGGTCCTCACATCCTAAACCATACTAAGTCCCTACCTCCAGAGGCAGACAACAGGCTGAATATAAACTAAGGAAGCATGCAAGTGTTGGAAGAAGATGGGAACAGTTTCCTTCATAACCCAGAAAATCCAGGATCAGTACAGGAAAGCAAATTGTTACGAAAACAACACATAGCAAAAGAGCACCCCAAACAAAGCGAAAGACAAACTGGGGAAATATTCACAACAGATCTCGAAGGTAAAATGCATCCTAAAAAAGAGCGTTGAAAAAACTGAGGGAGAATGAAACCCTACAATCCTATAGTTTTAACATGAAAAAATAATAAGAATTGTTTGCAGGAAAAGAAATGCACCTGGCCCTTAAATATAAAAAATGTGCTCAGGGCTTCCCTGGTGGCGCAGTGGTTGAGAGTCCGCCTGCCGATGCAGGGGACACTGGTTCGTGCCCCGGTCCGGCAAGATCCCACATGCCGCGGAGCGGCTGGGCCCGTGAGCCATGGCCGCTGAGCCTGCGCGTCCGGAGCCTGTGCTCCGCAACGGGAGAGGCCACAACAGTGAGAGGCCCGCGTACCGCAAAAACAAAACAAAACAAAACAAAAACGCACGTATGTGTGCACAGGAGATACAACTTCACTACCAAAAAAAAAAAGTAAATAATAAAAATCGAGCAGCATCTGCATCAGAGACTAAGTGAAACACGAGGTCCATCTCCATTAAGCAGAACATTTACAGAAATGAAAAGACGATGCCCGCGAAGACCGCAGTGGTGAGCGCGCACGGTCCGCACAGCCCGGACGCGGGAGAGCGCCGCGGACCAAGGGGAGGAGGGGCGCCGCGGGGACTGCGTAACCACCACGCAGACGCGGGACACGGACCTCCGCGGGGACCCGCCAGCCGGTGCCCCGGGCTCTGCTCCCCGGAGGGGAGAGCGGGTTTAGTAACAATTCCTACCCCTCCCAAGTGGGCGGCGGGGCTGGAGGAACCGAGGGCCCGGCAGCCTCTCGGGACCAAGGTCTACCCGGAGGAGCCCGGCGTCCGCTGGGCCCGAGGACACATGACGCCCCCGCCCCGGTGTCTCCCATTCTCTCGCCGCCACCCCCGCGTCTCGCCGTCTCTCGCCGCCACCCCTCGCCAGTCCCCCTTCCCTTCTCCCCTCTCCTCGCCAGTCACCCCCGCCACCCCACCCCTCCGCCTGACGCCCAGAAACCACGCGGGAGACACGGGTGCTGGCGGCCGCAGCCGGCGTGATGCACTAGGCGGGCAGCAGTCCGCGCGCGCGCAGCTCCAGCAGCGGGGCCAGCGTGTAGCGCAGGCGACGGATGGCGGCGTCCGAGCCGGGGCGCATGAGCCCGCGGCGGAGGGCCGAGGGGTTCACCAGCGCCAGGTAGAGCAGCGGCAGCGCCACGACGCCCAGCAGGAGCAGCAGCAGCGTCTGCAGCGCGCCCAGCGCCCACAGCCTGCGGACCACGACGCACCGGCAGACGGGTGGTGGCGGGGCGCCGGGCGCACCCCGGACCCCAGACTCCAGCGCCGCGCCCGCCGCCGGCTCACCTGATGCCCGCCGCGCCCGCGCCGCCGAACAGCCGCTTCTGCGGGGAAGAGGGAGCGACGTACAGCTCCGCGCCGGGGAGCTGTGGGGGAAAACCCCTGGGGGAGCGAGCCCGTGGGTGCGCGTCGCTCCGTGGGGGGCGTGGCACTACGGGGCGGGTCCCCTATGCGGGCGTGGTCCTTGGGTGGGCCGTCCCGTGGCAGGCGTGGCCGCCCAGCGAGGTTGGTATCAAGGGGAGGGTCCCTGGGGGAGGGGGGGAAAATCCCTGATGGGGTGGTCACGTGTGTGTGGGTGGCCCCGGGGGCAGGTCCCGGCTCCAGCCCGTCCCCGCCCAGGCCCGCACTCACACAGTCCGCTTTGGCCACTTCCTCCATGAGCGAGCTCGCGCATCCCTGCCCCCGGCCAGGCTGCGACTCGCACCTGTGGAGACAGGCATGGCGATGTGCCCTCTGTCCGGGCCCACAGTCACCTCCCCACACCCGACAGTCCTAACCCCTTACGGCTCCGGGTCGCCCTGCGAGGCGTCCAACGCAGTCGCCGCCTCCATCACCTTCCCCTGCAGCTCCTGGAGGGGTTGGGAGTGAGGCCTCACACCTGGGAAGACCTTGGTGAGGCAGGCCCCGGCAGCTCCGGGGGAGGAGGCCGCAGTGGGGTCGGAGGTGAGCGGCTCTCCGAGTGGAGGGTGGCGGCACCTGCAAGACTCCGCTCTGCTCCTGGAAGCTGGCCCAGGCCTCTTCCATCCGCTGTGCGCTCTGGCATGAGGGGAGCCCTGATTAGACTCGGGGAAGTCAGCCCTCTCCACCGTCCGGCGCCTGCCCAGGCCCCACCCACACCCCAAGCCGACGCTCCCACTGAGTACCCGGCTCCGCCCGCACCTGCCGCAGGGCCTCCGCCTGCCTGGCGTGCTTGGCCTCCACCAGCTCCAGTTGTTTCTTCCGGAGGATCCAAGGAAGGTCAGGAGTCCGGCACTCCCCGAGCTCGCCGCGCCAGACCCCGCCCCAACGCCCGGCCAAGAGGTTCATGCCCACCCCCGCCCGCCCTCAGCCCCAAGGCCCCGCCCTCAGGTCATCAAAGGCCCGCCCACACCAGCGCTCCTGCCCTCGGGGCCCCACCCAAGCACCTGCAAAGCCACCAGTTGGGTCCCGAGTTGCCGCTCTGCGCGCTGCGGACTCAGTTGTTCTCCATAGTAAAAGAGCTGGGGGGTGGGGCTTGTGAGGGCGGGGTTTGCGGGGCTTCTAGGGGTGGGGATTATCCTGGGAGGCGGGGACGCGGCGGAAATGGGGACGGGGACTAGGGTGGGGCTTCCTAGGGGAAGCGTGAGACGGAAGCCGTCTCCTGAAGGTACCTGGCTTGACAGCTCCTCCCACTGCTCCTGCAGCTGATGGTTTTGTTGCTCCTGGACGGGATCGAGGGGGCGGTCCGGGCCTCTCCGAGGTCCCCGCCCCCACCGCAGTCCCCGCCCCATTAAAGATCCCTCTCTTCGCTGGCCCCGCCCACCAAGAGCCCCGCCCCGTCCAGGGTCCCACCCTGCTTCAGGCCCCGCCCCACACAAGGTCCTACCCCGTCCAAGGCCCCTCCCTCTCCCCAGGCTCCGTCGCATTCAAGGCCCCTCCCCCTTCACTGGTCCCGCCCATCCAGAGACCCGCCCCGTCCAAGGTCCCGCCCCGAAGGCTCCGCCCCATTTAGGGCCCCGCCCCACCAGGTCCAGCTTGTGCTGCTCCGCAGCCTCCAGCCGCCGGCGCGCCCGGCCTGCGCGCTCCCGCGCCGCCTCTCTCGCCTCCCCGCGCAGGGCCCGCGCCGCCTGGCTCCGCTGCCGCTGCAGGCTGCGGAAGGGAAACTGAGGCTCCGCGGCCCGGGGTGACGCCGGGATGCCAGCCACCTCGCGGTGCCCCCGCACGTCGGCTTGGTCCCAAGGCCCGGGTGGAGGTGAGGAGCAGCCCGCACCTGCGCTCGCGCTCGCTCAGGTCGTCCAGGCGCGCTGTGAGGCTCTCGCTCTCGGCCTCCAGCCCGCGCACCAGCTCCTCCAGCTCCTGCTTCCGCAGGCGCCCGTCACGGTTGTCCTTCAGCAGCTGCAGCAGTAGCTCCTGCGCCTCGGCCATGCCCCGGCTCTGCCCGCCGCCGCCGCCGGACCCGCGTCACAATGGATGGAGCGCGGGGCGGTTCGGAACCGCTGCTCACGGGCAGCCATCGGACCGCTCAGGCCGGTGGGTGCTCGCACCTGAAGCAGAAGGCGAGGCTGGCTTGTTCCCGCTCGCTGCCGACGGCACTGCGGACTGAGAAGCCTCCTGTGGGAAAGAGATCAGGATCCGTAAACAGGTTCTTATCTTTGGACCCAATGATCCCACTCCTGGGAACTTAATCTAGGAAGAAAAAAATAAAATTCTTAAACCACAACGCGTTAAGTGGGTTCATTCAGGTGGGTAGTTACAGTCATCACAAAGAGGACACCACTGTAGTTACTGAAATGATGTATTTTATGTGGCATACATAGAGATATGATGTCTAGTGAAAAAAGAATATGATTTACTATGTATGCTGAAATAACTAAGATTGTAATGTACACGGATAAGATCTTTAAAGGAAACAAGAGAAAGACAAGCTATTTCATTGGTGAAATTGCAGGTAAACTTGTCCTTTTAAAGTCGGCTTTCATTTGGCCAACTTAGACTATGAAGCTGGATGCAAAAGTCCTAAATAAATTATTAGCTGACCAAATCCAAAGGGGTACATTGAAAAAAAAAAAGGTACATGAAACCAAGAAGACTTTATTCCAGAGATTGTTCAAGATCAGAAAATTGACGTCATTCACCACATGGATAAAAGAGGGAGAACACCAGCTTCAGTAGAGCATTTCAGTAGGAGCAGCACGCGGGATAGAGCTCCTCATCTGTGGAAAATTTAAAGAGGGATCGAAAGGGACTCTAAACTGATGAAAACTGCTTAGTAAACACACTCCTTAGGGAGGCAGTATTAGCAGCCTTCCCGTTAAGATTTTAAGAGACAAGAATGACCCTCCTGCTCAGGTCTAACAGTGCTGGAGGACCTACAAGGAAGCAAGAAAAAGAAATAGGAAAGTCTGAGGAGTCAGCAGATACAGCTGGGTGCCTACCATAAAGCTGCCCCTCCTGCACTGCTGGTGGGAATGTAAATTAGTGCAGCCATTTTGGAGAACAGGACGGAGGTTCCTCAGGAAACTAAAGATAGAGTTGCCGGGACTTCCCTGGTGGCACAGTGGTTAAGAATCTGCCTGCCGGGCTTCCCTGGTGGCGCAGTGGTTGAGAGTCCGCCTGCCGATGCAGGGGACACAGGTTCGTGCCCCGGTCCAGGAAGATCCCACATGCCACGGAGCGCCTGGGCCCGTGAGCCATGGCCGCTGAGCCTGTGCGTCCGGAGCCTGTGCTCCACAACGGGAGAGGCCACAACAGTGAGAGGCCCGCGTACCACTAAAAAAAAAAAAAAAAGAAAAGAAAAGAAAAAGAAAAAAAGAACCCGCCTGCCAATGCATGGGACATGGGTTTGAGCCCTGGTCCGGGAAGATCCCACATGCTGCGGAGCAACTAAGCCCGTGCACCACAACTACTGAATCTGCGCTCTAGAGGCTGCAAGCCACAACTACTGAAGCCTGCGCGCCTACAGCCCGTGCCCCACAACAAGAGAAGTCACGGCAATGAGAAGCCCGCACACCACAATGAAGAGTAGCCCCCAGTCGCCTCAACTAGAGAAAGCCCACGTGCAGCAGCAAAGACCCAACGCAACCAAAAATAAATTAAAAAAAAAAAAAAGAGTTTCCATATGATCCAACAGCCCCACTCCTGGGCATATATCCAGACAAAACTCTAATTCGAAAAGATACATGCACCCCAGTGTTCATTGCAGCATTACTTACAACAGCCAAGACACGTAAACAACTGACAGATGACTAGATAAAGAAGATGTGGTATATATACAACAGAATACTACTCAGCCATCAAAAAGAATGAAATAATGCCATTTGCAGCAACATGGATGGACATAGAGATGATCATACTAAGTGAAATAAGTCAGAAAGAAAAAGACAAATACCATATGATATCACTTATATGTGGAATCTAAAATATGACACAAATGAACTTACCTATGAAACAGAAATAGAGTCACAGACATAGAGAACAGACTTGTGGTTGCCAAGGGGGAGGGGAGTGGGGGAGGGATGGATTGGGAGTTTGGGATTAGCATATGCAAACTATTTTATATAGGATGGATAAACAACAAGGTCCTACTGTATATAGCACAGGGAACTATATTCAATATCCTGTGATAAACCGTAATGGAAAAGAAAAAAATAAATAAAAAGGTGCTGGTGTGAGTGCCCCACACCCCCCCTCCAGCTCTGCGGCTTGGTTTCTCCACCTGTAAAGTGGGGCTGTTACCAGACTCCCTCATAGAGCCAGGGGGCCAGTAACTCACACCACACAGCTGAGGCTCTGAGCATGGCACCATCACTGGCTCCAGCATTGGACGTCCAGCCCCAGAAGGTGGCGCCGAGCTCCTGAAAGTCTGGTCCCGACCGAGATGTGAACCCTGCGAAGCACCATCTCATTGATAATTTTTGTATCGATTACATATGAAATACCGTGAATATACTGGGCTCAATGACACACTAGAATCTGGCCCACTTGTTTCTCTTTCCAGTTTCCCGTGGCTCCTGGAACACAAGCTCCAGTCCCGTAGGACAGCTCTGCACCCCCGGGGGCCCCTCCATCCCCTCACAGCATCCCCATGACCACACCGCGCCCCCTGCCTAGGCGTCCTGATCCCGGTTTACGTGGGGAAGCTCAGTGACGACAGGTCACCAGGCAGTGGCAGCTCAGGTGCCCTGTCCCCGCGAGAAGCTGGGCCTGCAGCCAGCCCTCACGGCGGTGACATTGGCCACCCCCTGGGTTGCTGTTCTGCAGCCTCAGAGGGTGAGCCGAGGGGCGCTTTGACCCCTCCCCGCCCCTGGTCTTTAGGAGGAAACTCTGCAGGGAAAGCCTGGGTCTGAGGAAGCCTCCGGTGAAACCCAAGCCACTTCCCTGGCGGTGGGGGCGACAGGAGCCATGGAAACAGACCCCCGGCTGTGGTGCCCCTGCCCTTTGCTCCCACTGGACCCGGTGGAAGCACCTGCCTATCTTCCCACCCAGCCTGCTGGCCCTGCTCTGCCCCTCCCCCAGGACTCAGGTTCAAGGTCCTCTTCTCCGAGCCTCCCTCCCCACCCACGCCCTCACCGAGGGGCACAGCCCAGGAAAGGGGCGGTGCAGGGCCCCCAACCCTGTCTTCAGGGCTGAATGCAGTGGTTGCACACTCAGTGCATGGTCGGGTGAGGACATCTGCGTGGTGCCAGGAGCTCAATAAATGTCTGTCCAATCAGAGAAAGAATAGTTATAAAATCCATGCCTGTTGTGCACAGTCCCTTTTTTTGTATTTGAAACTTGTATTTTTTGCCTGATAAGAGAAAAAAGGGGAATTCCCTGATGGTCCAGTGGTTAGGACTCTGCGCATTTACTGCCGAGGGCATGGGTCCGATCCCTACTCCAGGAAATAATATCCTGCAAGCCTAGCTGCACGGCCAAAAAAAATAGAAAAAAATAGAAAAAAGATTCCCGTAAACCACGATGTATCAAATAATGGCTCAATGGCACAGAGTCCCCCCAATGTGGGCCCGCCTGCCAGCCCCCCACCGTCTCCCACGCCAGCCACAGGGAAGGCACCTCAGTCCCATAAACAGACCACGTGCTCTGATGCCTCCACACTTTGCATGCACTGTTCCCCACCCGTGGGGCAGCCCTGCCTGAGCGCCTGGTGTCTGACCAGCTCCTCACAGCTCTTCACCAGCCTGTTTAATGGTTAGACGTTGAGTTACTGTGACGGCAGGTCAGGTGATGAGCTGTCTCTTTTGCTGCCCCCGCCTGCAGCCCCACCTCCTACCAAGGGCCGGAGGAGACCGGTCAGCGGCTGCCTCCCCCACCCTGCTCTTGAAGACTGAGGTCTGCATCCCTGTCAGCAGACAGGCAGTGTGGGGACAGGAAGAGGAATTCTCGGGGGGTGCGCTGACGGCCACTGGCATGAGCTCTGCCCACATCCTGGGAGGCACCCCAGGGCCGAGGGATCACTGCCTGTAGCATCACAAAGTGGGCAGGTTCTGGGGATACCCCCGACTCCCCAGGGGGCACACTGCGAGGGGCGATGCCTCAGTGAGGAGCTTGTGACCCCAGCAGGTACCTGCTGAGGGCAGAGGTGGCCTGTGCCCCGAGGCAGGAGAGAGGGTGCCAATGGCGCCAACACGGACAGAGGGTCACTGGGGACCCCCACAGCCACCCGAGGCCGCACATGGCAGGTCTGTGTGCCCCATGTGGGCTGAAGCGTGTCCCCCAGAATTCCTACGTTGAAGGCCTGCCCCAGCATCTCAGAATGTGACTGTGTCTGGAGATGGGTCTTTGGGTTGGACCCTAACCCAGTCTGACCAGGGTCCTTGTAAGGGGAAATCTGGCCACAGACACACAGAGGGACTAACAGATGGGGACACAGGGTGATGAGGGCATCTACGCGCCATGCAGAGGCCTCTGGAGAGAGACCACCCGGCCGACACCTGGGTCTCAGACTTCCGGTCCTCAGAACCGTGAGGAGTCAACCCCATGCTCTGCTCCCAGCCTGGGGTCCTTTGCTACATCGGCCGGATCCCCCACAGCCTGCCTTCCCCCGCTGTGAGGGAGTCCTGGGTGGCCCCTGAGGGCAGGGCAGTGGTGGGAGGGTCATCCGGCCCTTTAACCAGGGGTCAAGCCCAGACTGTCAACTGGCATTTTTCAACTGTGGTATAATTGACACATAACATTAGTTTCAGGAGCTCAACACGATGATTCCATCTTTATGGACATTGTGAAATGCTCACCACAGTAAGTCAAGGTAACATCGTAAACCACACAGTGACCAGAAAAAAATCTACCCTCAGCCACGTTCCCAGGTGCCCCACGAGGCAGGAGGCCCTCAGAATCAGCAGCAGCAACATCCTGCAGTGTGGAGACCTTTAACGACACGCTGCCCCACCCCCCACCCCACCCCCCCGCTTCGGGGGGAGCCGTCCAAAAGCTTCCTCTCCATTTGCTGAACTCAGAAAATGTCTTTCCAGAAGGTCTATGAAAACATTCCGCTTCGGGGCTGCCTCCTGCGTGAAGATGGGAGCAGCCTCCGGCTCACTCTCCTCGAACTTTCCTTTCTTCCCTCCCTCCGTCCCTTTCTTTAGACGCCAGGGCACCCAGAGCAGCTCTTTTCC